CCCGCAGGCCAGCAGCGTCCCGGTCCCGCGGTGGCCGCCTTCCGTCCGTCCTTTGGGGCAGCGGCGGAGTCAGCAGGTGGGTCGGGGTCTGCGGCGGCGGTGTGGCCCTCAATTATGCGCATCAGGCTGCATGTGTGGGGAGGGAAACTGAGCCACCACGAGTCCTTTTGCTCCTGCGATGGTATGAGGCTGCCCTTTGGGCCAGTCAGGGATTGGGGGGAGACCCAGCGAGGGGTCGGTGGCCAGGAGGGCTGCTCATCTTTGCAGTGTTGCGTCCTGAGCCCAAGTTGTGAGGAAGATGAGGCATTTGTCAGGGGCTACATACTCCTTCCAGCTCAACCAGCAAGTCAAGATGCCCACCAAGCAAGAAGCAAGGTGGCTTCTGGGACCGCCTTCCCCAACCTGGTGTCATCCAGCTCCCCCCCCCCTATTTATAAAATTTGTATGCTGTCCAATTACCTATGTCTCTGGATGGCTTACAGCATAAATAAATTGACAACCCACTCTGGCTGCAAGTTAATAAAATACAATAATAAAATTCAATATTAAGACATATTAAAATATTGATTAAATAAAAAGGTCTTAACCTGGCACCGAAAAACATATAATTATGGCGCCAGGCGGACCTCTCTGGGGAGCGTATTCCACAGTCCCAACCTGGAGGGCCCCAGGTTGGGAGGGCTGCTTAACGATGCTCCACTGGCTATCCAGAAGGCTTCAAAGGGCCCTCTTCTGTGCCAGTCTCTCTCAGGAGCCCGCTGCTTGGTGGAGCCTTCAAAAGTGCCAAGCTTCTTTCCTGCATCTTTGGCCCACTGCCCCAGCCTCACCCACCGGCAACCTCCTGGAACCCTTGGCTGCAGAGCCCTTTGTTCCCTGAGCTGTTGGGCCTCTGCTGGAGCACAGTCCTTTCAAGAACTAAAAGCTGTCGGGAGGCCCTGTTCTCAGAAAATGGCAGGAGGACCGGGTGGTTCAGCAGCTGTCCAAGGCTGGCTTTCCTACCACTGTATGTATGACTCAAGGCCCTCTGGCAGAGGTGGGTCCGGGACCATTGTGTGCCTCTGTGTAATTAGCGTGCTTTGGAACAGGTTTCAGCCCTTGCTGAAGCCCCATAATGCCGGCAAGCAATTAGGCTCAGGCGGGAGCCCCACAGAGTGAGTGAAAAGGAGAAACTGAATGGCAGAGTGGGGAAGTGGGCAAAGAAACCCTTTCTATCTACACCTCCGCTTTAAGTAAAGAAGAAAGGACCCCCATAGTCCTAGAGAATGAGCAAAGGAGGGTGGCCAAGTGAGGGAGAGGGAGAGAATGAGCGCTGTTGGGAGGACTTAGCAGCAGCAGGCCGTGTTCTTACCGCCTCTTATTTCTGCAGGAAAGGTCACTGTGTGGAGAACAGAAAGCAGCTGCTATGCAGCCTCTTGACATTGAGTGCATCTGAAAAGCACAATATCACGTTCCAGGCGGTTCTGCTCAGCTGTGCTTGGAAACAGCCAACTGCACCCCCGCTTGGAGCCAGGGCTGGGACTTGAAAGTGGCGCGAGGGACTTCCAAGCCAGGGCCCAGCCTGCAGGAGCTCCTTTGCCGCCAGAGCTCTGTCCCTGCAGGGCTGGATGGGTCTGTCCCACCCTGATAGGGACCTGGCTTGGGTTTCCTCCTCTGTCGCTCCAGGAGAAGGAGGCGGTGGGTCCCTCAGGGCAGGACTTGAGGACAGATGCAAAAGCCAAGTTAGCTGGAAGAGAGAGGGAAGCACGGCAGGAGCACAGAATGCAACCCACGTGATCCCCTAAAGTCTGTGTGAGAGGGACGTGCAGCATCCCAGGTTCCCCCTCCACACCCAGCGTCCTGCATCTGCAAAGCGCCTTCATGCAGGAACTGCAAAGGGGTCGCTTGCCTAAATGCCCTTGAATGGAAGGGGGGTTCTGCTGACCCAACTCATTAGGCTGCAACATCCGTCAAGGTCCCCAGGTGGAAGGGCCGGGCTGAGCCAGGGCGTTCTGAGGGCAAGGGCCCACCCTCTTCCTCCATCCAGCCTGCCTGCCTGCCTGCCTGCCTGCCTTCCCCCGCACCCCCCCCCCACCTCTGCTTCAGGGCATGGGCCCTTTTCGTACAGCAGAGCCCCTGTCACAGCAGCAGAGAACTGCAGGACACGGAATAATCCAGCCAAGCTGCGGCAACACAGGTTCAGGCTGGGCATCAGGAAAGGCTTCCTCGTGGTCAGAGCAATGCGGCAGTGGAACCCACTGCCCGGAGAGGCGGTGGGCTCTCCCACTCTGGAAGCATTCAAGAGGCAATTGGTCTGAGTGGGATGGTGTGAACTGGTGTCCTGCACCAGCAGCGGGTTGGACCCGGTGGCCTTCATGGCCCTTCCAGCTCTACGGTTCTATGATTCTATAACGTGACTACGCTGAATTCAGGGATTGTTTGCTTTGCTCTTTGCAACGGGCTGCCCGCACATGCACATCTGTCCTGTGTGGCATGTGCTTGTGTGTGAGAAATAGAGCGGGGGTGGGGGTGTATTTACGACCGCTGCATGTGCACGTGGAGAGAGAAGGAAGGGACGGGCACCCAGAGGTCACCCCAAAGGCCTCCCTGCTGTGGCTCCTGGCCTATTCTTGAAAAGCTCCAGGTGTCTCCTGATTTTTTTGCAAAGTTCTGCAGTCTTCATCTGCTGTTTTACAGTGCTGTGGAGGCAACAACCAGACAGGAACAAAGCGACCTACAAAATATTAACTGCTTGGCCTTGATATAAACTTCCCAGGTCTCTGTGCTGTTCTCAGCGCAGCTCAGGGAGCCTGAGAGCACTGCTGCCGTTCTTCAGTACAGTGGAGAGCAAGGCCAGGCGTGCCCCTGGGGTGCAGCAGCTGTTCACCCCCGGGGGCTGCCTGCCACAGGACAACCCCTGGTCGCCTGCCACCTTCCAGCTGAAGCCCTGATCCCGCCTACCTCAGAGCAAATCCTTTGCTTTGGAGCAGATGTGGGCATGCCCAGCTCGGTCCAGCCAGGTCAGGTTTCCTGATTACCTTTAGAGTATCAAACCATCCCAGATCAGACATTTACCAAACAATACCAGGGCAAAGATAACGCACTTAAATAAAATGCACAAAACCCAAATCATAGACAAGAAGCTTAAAATTCTGGATCTCTAGCTAAAGTAAATCAAATTACAGAAATTTATTTAAACTTACATACAATCATACATAGATCTCCCTGACAATGTACAGCTGGAAGAATTTTCCAATTTGAATGCTGTTTTTGCAGCTACAAATCTTATGTGCCTGTGAAGCAGAGAGGGGCCATTCCCACGGACTGCGTTCCCTAAGATCCAGCCAGAGATTGTCCCTTGGCACGGGCGCTGGCGACCGGGGAAGCCTGGGGGCCATTCTTGCGCACTGCCCCAGTTCTGAACATGAGAGGAACCTGTTGCCTGAACGCAGCAGCAAAGCACCCGGTGGGCCAGCAAGGATTGGCTCGCTTGTGAGAGAATCAGGCCCCTTTGGAGCTCTGCAGCCACGGTGGAGACAAGCTTGAAGTAGGCGAGGAGCCGCGGGGGTGGGGGAGGAAGAGAGACCGTGCCTGGGGCAGGTGGCCCAGCTGTGCTTTACAGAGACAAGTGTGATGCTGCCCTGTATTTCCAGGGCTGTCCATCCCGACTCCTGTAAAAAGGTGACGAGCCATAAGAAAGGGGGCAGCAGAGAGATGGGGGCCTGCAATTGGCCCCTGCAACACTCTGAGACAGCAGGCCTGCATAGCTCTTGCTGCTCACATCCTTTCCCGTAGTGCAAGATGTGCGGCTATTTCTACTTAAATGACTGTCCTTGCTTCCAGGTTTGCCTCCATTCATACCAATTACCTGCTCCTACGTTAGCGTTCGATGCAACCTCATATGCTAAATGAATAGATAGACAGATGGGCTGGGATGGTGCAGAACGGGTTTCAGAGGGACCAAGGCAGCATGACAACACCTGCCTGCTTTTGCGTCGCGAAGGCGCAGCGGGGCCGCATGCGGGGGGCTGACAGCTGACTGCAGAGCAACTCGGTGGTCCTCACCCTGGCCAGTTTTGCTCCCTCGTCCCCGGAGTCCCTCCGTCTGGCGCGGGAGCAGCGGCATCGAGAAGTGGCACGACCCACGAAGAGAGGGCACAAAGGGGCGCAGAGGTAGGGCAGATCAGGACTGACGCTTCCGTGTTTGCAGCCCTGGGAACATCTGGATTGAAAGCGGGGATGAAGGTGGTCAGGAGGGGAGGTGGCCTGGAATGGGTCAGTTCTGGAAGATGGGATCTGGTGGGAAATGAATTAGGGGGAGTTAAACATTGGGAAGGATAATGAGTGTGTGGGGGGATTTGCAAAGAGAGAACATCCTTTCAGCGTGGGTGGGCACTAAGTGCACTTGCAACACAGATCCCAGGGGTGACCAGGCGCCTGCCTGGTCCAGCTGCGAATTCCCCCCCAGCAGGACAGAAAGGTGAATTGCACCCCTCATTGTTTGTCACAGAGTCTGGCATTCAAAGACACACTAATTCATACCAATTACCTGCTCCTACGTTAGCGTTCGATGCAACCTCATATGCTAAATAAATAGATAGACAGATGGGCTAGGACGGGGGAGAACTTGGGTTCAGAGCCCGGGCAAGCAATGCGTCCCACCAGCTGACCAATCGTGCAATCTAACCAAGCTGTCAGGAGGAAGAGGAGTGGAAGAGCCCGAGGCATCCTGCCCTCAGCTAGATGAAAATGACAAAGACTGCTTCGCCCTTCTCGTGGGGGCTTCTAAAGCTGTGCTGCAGCAAGCAGGAAGAGCTTTGGGCAGGTGGACGGAGGGCCGCAATGCAGGTGGGCCTGCTGTGCCAGGTGGGGCTTGTATCTCCCCACTCCCTGGGAACGGCTCCTGCTCCTCCCTCCTCGGGGCTCGGAACTCTGCGAACACCCACGCGTTGTGCACCCTGCCCCTTTGGCCAAGCAGCCCTCTTCTCCACTCGTTCTGCCCTGGCCCTCCTTTCTCCCTGCAGACAGCCCTTCTGCTCCCGTCAACGTCACCGTCAAGCTCCTGAAGGCCAACTCCGCGGTGGTAACTTGGGATGTCCTCGAAGAGGAAGTGGTCATAGGATTCGCCATTTCCCAGCAGGTAGGAGTCCTGCTGCTCTGCGCTGCTGCCGGCCACCCCCACTTCTGCTTGATCTGGGCCCCTCTCAGAGCACCGTGCCACTCTCCAAAACATGCATCTGGCACGGGAGAGCCCCAGTCCCCTCCACCCCGATTCTTTCCCCCATTCCTATTCAGGAAGAATTAGAGGCTGCTGTTGTTAGTCGCGAAGTCGTGTCCAACCCATCGCGACCCCATAGACAACATTCCTCCAGGCCTTCCTGTCCTCCACCATCCCCCGGAGTCCACTCAAGCTCATGCCGACTGCTTCGGTGACTCCATCTAGGCTAAACCAGAGTTTAGTTTGACGGGAAGACATACAGATTCCATGACTGCATGTGTCCTTGTTCAAAAGCAGGTTTAGTCCCATCAAAAACCCTGTTTTAAAAGAAGCCCTTACTTTAGACAGCTGTTGAAAATAACCGCTCCTGTAAATGGCTTCTCCGTGTTCAAGAGCATCCAGAGGCTTGCAAAAAGGTGGAAAAGAAGGAAGATATTGAGAACTGTCACTTCCAAACTCAAAATCCAGGGGATCTCATTGCAAAGGGGACAACTTTAATATCCGTTTTTGCAAGCCTTTGCTTTGCACTCAATAGTTTGCTGTTTGACAGCTGTCTGATGAAAGCAAAGTAATGTGTTTGAAACCTGGCTTTGTCAATATCCAGGGGTGATGCCTGCTCTGACAGCAGGCTTCTCACCAGGACATTGACCAGGTGAGGCTTCAAATTTTGGGTAGCTGGATTTGTGCTCTTGCCCACTCCCCCCCACCCAAAAAAAGACAACCCTGGGAAAAACCTGAAAAGTGACATCTGAAAAGCATTGAAAAGAGGGGTGGGGAACATCTGTGGCAACACCAAAGGTCTCACAACCAGGACAAGGGAGCCAGAGACGGCTGCTCCAAAGTGCTAACCCAGCCTCTTGCTGAGGGCTTGCTTGCTGCTTCCCAGAACCTGCCATGGGTCAAACAGCCCGACTGAGTGTCTGTGTGGTCTGGGGAAGCCACCCTGTGAGGAATGGTCCAGGTGTGCACAACATGACAACCCACCATGGCTACCCACCCATGCAGGACTGTCGTGTCATGCAAACTCCATCAGTCTCCTTAATTTCAGAAAGCAGAGGAAAACTAATATTTTAGCTCATGTAAATCCAAGCTTTGTTAGCTGTTCCCTTGTCCTCTGCCCCACCAAACCTGGAAGAGAAATCCAAAACTAGAAGTGTTTACCTAATTTTCAGATTTCCCTTCCCTCCTTCCACCCTTTGTCAGAGTTTTAAAATCATCTGATAACCCATTCTGAGAGCAGATTGCTTAATTCTGGCTTGGCACGAGAGCAGACATCGCTTTCTGGGCATGCCTGATTGAAGTCAGATGTTGTGGGCTGTGAACACAGTGCAGAAATAGCCTCCTGTGCTTGCCAGCTAGTTTTTCGGCTCAGGGGTTTGGTTATGGGGAATACACAACCCTTAGTTGGGCAGAAGCTCCATGCTGCCTAGGATTCTACCCTGTAGTAGACCTGAGTATGAGTTTCATAAAGATTTGAAATGTGGTGGCATTTCAGATTCTGAAATTCAGATTGTGATGGCTAAATTTGATTCGAAAGTTGACTTCTGCATTGTGGAATTGAAATTTGACTGTTTGGACCATTCATGCAGTTGATACACATTTTTAAAAACTCTTGCAAATGATCTTTCAGAGCTTTTTAACTGTTGATTGTTTCTGCAGCTCAGCTGTCAAATGTTGTCAAGTGTCAGCTTAAGGGATGTCTGGATACCCAGTTCTCAGACACCGTAATGTTGAGCATTCTTGCAAAAACTTAGGATGTAGCATTATGATGCTGCTTATCCGTTATCCAGAGAAAGCACATTCTGCACATTTGGAAGCACTAGGATAAGATGAACATTAATAGGTGCAAAAGAGACATTTGAGGGGAGGTTTTCTAGCCATGGTCAGTGGAGTTCTGCATTCATGGAACCATAAGATCTCATCAGCGAGTGTTTGCAAGTGCCTGGAGGAGGAGAGAGATGACTTGGTGCAGGCCACGTCCCCGCTTGCTCTAGGACCACCCCCGCCCAGGCTTAACATGAGGGACCTGCTGCCAGCACCACCTTGACCTTGACCTTGACCTTGGTCCCGGGCGTGATTGTGCGCGTGCTTTCCGCCCCTCTTGCTGCAGAAGAAGGATGTGCGGATGCTGCGCTTCATCCAGGAGGTGAACACCACCACCCGCTCGTGCTCCCTCTGGGACCTGGAGGAAGACACGGAGTACATCGTCCACGTGCAGTCCATCAGCATCCAAGGGCAGAGTCCGGCCAGTGAGCCCGTGCACTTCAAGACCCCCCGGGAGGCTGAGAAACTGACCTCCAAGAACAAAGGTAGGCGGGGAGCGGCTGGGTCAAAAAACGGCTGCAGGGCAGAGAGCCTTCGGCTGCCCAGGGAGCCCAGCTGAGCCACGGGGCCCTGGCGGAGGGGGCACGGGGGGCTGCGTGAGGGCGGCATCCTCCTCCCACGCCGCGTGCCACGCCAGTGGGGAGGGCCCACCGGCGGGGCCTGTTTCAGCAACACGGCTCCAGAGCAGCAGCGGCTCAGCCCCCCAGCACTCCCCGCCTCCCCTGCCTGCCTGCCTTGCCTCCCCGGTGCTCGGCCAGACTCCTGGCTTCTGTCCCAGGGCTCCAGGGCCACCCCGGGCTGCTCTCCTAACTCAGGCCTGGGGAGGGCTCAGTGGGAAGGATGGGAGGCCCCAGGGCTCCCGCTCCCCAGGAGCAGTCTGGCGGATGCAGAGCAGGAGGGGATGAGACGGCAAGGGGGGCAGCCGGCCAGTCACAGGCGGGTGAGTCACACAGCCGCTGCCAGGAACTCCCTGTGCCGCTTCCATCACTGCCCGAGGAGGGGAAGGAGGTGCACAGGAAGGGGAGCAGGAGTGGAAGGGGCAGGCTGGGCGTTGGGGAGGCTGCGGGCTCATTACAGGAGCTGCCAAGCATCCTTTGAGTCTTTCTTTGGAAGACAGACCTGCCAGTAAACTCCGCCAACCATGCGTTTTAGGAACAGAGGCAAGGCTGGCCCAAAAAGTTTGCTGCCAAGGGGTGCCGTTCTCCACGGTTGTGTGTGTTTTCTTCCCTTCCCCTTTTATTGTGCAGGACAAGAAGAACCATTCTTTATTGTGCCATTGAAGCAGGGGAAAAGAGAGCAGAACTTAAACATCACATTCTTAAGTGAAATCCAAAAAGATCTATGCAACCAGATATACTAGTTGCATATGCTTTGTATATCCCTATATATTAATATATATCAGAATGTACTACCATTACTAAAGATAATTATGCACATATTTCAACAAAGGCACCCAAAATATCAATATATTTCTCCATTTGTAGATTACACCTAAAGGTCACCTGTTCAAAAATCAAACGTTTCGTTAAATCCTCCACTCATTATGTTATTGCAGGGGGCCGTTAATCCTTCCAGTGTTGTAATATTAGTTTTTTAGCTGTCAAAAGAGCATGGAAAATCCATTTACACTGACCTTGCATTAAATTCCAAGAGATGGGTAGGTAATTGGATTTTTGGGTGTGCGTGTGCATCTGTGCACGGCGGCAGATGGCGCCATGTTGCTGGCGAGGACAGGCCTGGCGAGGGCCCTGCCACCTGTTCCCAGGCTCCCCCGCCACAGCCCACGACTGCCCACGGACGCAGTCCCGAACTTTCGGGAAGAGTTCTGCCACCTCAAAGCCCGGCAGGCATTTTATCCCGGCTCCTGCCCACTGCAGTCCTGGGATGGGGACTGGAACGCAAGGTTTAAGCAGGGTTATCTCTCATCCATCAACCTTTGTGTCAAACCTGCGGGTTGCTAACCGATTTCACAAGCAACACGTTTGAAAGCGCTGGTTTGTGAAACACGGACAAAGTAATTACGGAGGGGGTGGCGCGGTGCGGAAATTGCAGCTCCCGCTGCCTGGGCCCTCGCAGCACAGGAGGCATTGCCTGCAAAGCCGGTCTTGTGATCGCCCAGCGGAGGAAGAGCCAAAGCGAGTGGGGCCAAGCTGGACACAGCACGTGGCACGCTCCCCCACAGCCAGAGCACCCCTGGAGGGCCCGCTGCGACGGGGTGGCCAAGGCTGTGGCGCCGGGCTGGACATCGGCTCCCTTTACCTCCCTCTTTCTGCAGATGAGGTGACAATGAAGGAGATGGGGGAGAAAAATCAGCAGCTGCGAGCCGGAGAGATCCTCATCATCGTGGTGGTGCTGTTCATGTGGGCAGGTCAGTGGGAGCCCCCCCCCCCACATGCGGAAGACCAAGGCTTTGTCCAGACAAATCAGGGCTCTCGGCATGCTGCTACCATGCACACAAGAACCGACGAGGCTGCCCCAGCCCACGGGTGCCAGTCATGGTGCTCCTGCCACTGGTCTTGCCGGCCAGGGCCGGTGGGTGCCGAAGCCCCAAGCGCCTGAGCAGCATCAGCAGAGGAGGCCGGTCCCGTGAGTTTCCGTCTTAGGAATGGTTCTCCTCACTCGGTGCTCCGCAGAACAGGAGCACCTCCCCGCGACTGTGTGTGTCCTCTTTGGCTCCCCCTCTGCCGGGCCACAGGCCTGGTCTCCTGGCGATCCCCGGTGCATTTGAAGCGGAGCAGTGCAGCCAAGGGGTGATGTGCCCTCCACCGTCCGCAAGGCCAGAGGCAGACGCGGGAGGCGGCCCTGGTGGCAGAAGCCAGCGCCCCGGTCCAGCTGTCCCTCTGAGCGGGGGAGGCCATGCTCGCCTTGTGGCTACGGGGAGGTGCCCGGGCGTGTGGGCGAGCTGCCTCCCGGGCGTCTCTGGGTGGTGAGCAAACCGGCGACGTGGCGTACAGGGGACTGCACAGCGCTCTGTGGAGGCCTGAGGCAGGGGGACACTCGGGGCAAAATCTGGCACAGGCCAGACTCCGGGGAAGCAGGAGGGCGACGGCAGGGGATAAACGGGGGACTGCAATTCAGGTACATGGGGTGGATTTCAGTGCAGCCACCTTTCCCAACCTGCTGCCCGTCAGCTGTGTTGGGCTACAACTCCCAGCATCCCCCAGCCATAGACATGGGAGTTGTAGTCCAACATATGTGGAGAGCATCTGTTTAGGGATGGATGCGGTAAAGTATGGAGGAATGTTAACATGTAGGTTTTATTGTGCTTTGGAAGTTTCCTGGGGATGGGAGGGGACAGGAGCAGAAATAAATAAAGGAAAAACAAACAAACCACCCCCCTGCAAACATGAGTGCCCCAAAGTTTCTTCGCCAAAATTGCAAGAAGACAAAGCTCGCAAGCCTAGTGTAGAATTCCTGCCTGCTGGCTCTCTTGCAAACCGTTCTTGGTTCTCTCTATTTAGGGTAGTTTATTTAGCTCACTTCTAGCCCATTAGGATAACAGAGCAATTCACGAAATAAACTGGCTGAAACATAAAGCAGCAGGGTAGCAATAACGCTGATCCTCTGCAGAGGAGCAGCGGCGGAAGCACTTGCTGCCAGAGAAAGGGCTCTCTCCGTGCCGCCGGCGCGGCCACCCCAGCAGGGGGCAGGAGTTCACCAGGCAGGAGAGGCTGATCAGCGTCCCGAGCGCCCGCCGCATCCCCGGCGCCCAAGCCCCCGGCTTCCTCCTGGAAGCAGCGCTGCCCTGCAAGACAGCTGCGCAGCTTGGCAGCCTGGGAGGCAGCTGCCGGGCCTCGCCGTGCTGGGGGCCGCCAAGGCTCGTCCGCACACCGCTCCCCTCTTTGCCCGTGGGTCGGCCAGCGGCCAGCACTGGCTGAGGCCCACAGCAGCTGCAGCAGAGCCCACCCGGAGAAGGCCGGATCAGGGAAGGCTGGCTTAGGGCCCACCCTCCCATACTGGCCCATCAGCGGGTTGTCTGAATGAGCCGTTTGTGACAAGAAATGTGGCTTGTCTGCTTTGCACATGCCCAGAGACTGCCGCTCTTCTTCTCGTGCTTCACATACTTTAGATCAGCCTTCCCAAACTGGGGCCCTCCAGATGTCTGGGACTGAGGCATGGGTGTAGCACTTTGAGTTTTTGAAATGACTTATTTACACCAGCTCAGTTCTCTGCACTTCAGCAGCTTCAGGCAGGAGCTCCGTCTTACTCTGCTTCTTCCCATCCAGACTGCTGAAGCTGTGGGGCTTGTCAGAGGCGACAAAGGGACCCCATGGCAGAGCAGAGATCTTGCTGTGAGCAACTGCAAGGCAGCGGCTCCAGACTCGTGAAGGCCTCGTTTCCTCTTCCTGGCATTTTGAGAACAGGTGCTGGGGCTGGGGCTGGGGCTGCCCACCTCATCTGCAGTGCCTCGGCCAGTAAGGCGGGATCTGCCGAGCTCGGTCCTGCAGGCCCTCGGTGTTCTGCATGCGCCCTAGTTCTGTGGCTGCGTGTGCTCCCTCTGCAGCATGAAACATTTACGAAAGCAGAAAAGCTCTCGGCAGGAGGCTCGCAGATGCTTTAGCCGGAGGAGGGGAGCAGGGGCCCTGGGACTGCTGGGAGCGAAGGCCGTTTCAGGTGAAAACCAGCACGTAGCCAGCTGTATAATTCATTCTTTGCCGGGGAAAATGTCTCTCCTCCCAGTTTACTCCTCAGTCTCCCAGCCAAAGAGTGTTCTGGCTTATATCGGATCATATGTACGCAGCTCTGGCCGGATGGTGTGAGAGAAACTGGCCCAAGGAATGAACTGTGTAGAGACCTTCTGCGGATGCAGAATGGTGCACCTGAACAGCCGACCCCGGTCGGGAGCCTTGGCAAGCAGGCCTGCGAGCGCCCGTGCGCACGCTGAAGCGACTGCTCCACCGCTCCTGTGCCCAGGTGGGAGTCCTCCACGCAGGGCTGGTTCTGGCTCTTTCCCACCTGCCAGCCGCACATATCTGTGGTTCTGGGGCTTCCAGCCAGGGCCCCCTTTCACAGATTGTACAGGGCCACCTCAGTCCAGAACTGATGGACTTCCACACTCATTTCTATGCCAGAGACAAACCTGCCCAGGCAGGAGGGGGCACAGAGCTTGTCCCTCCACAGCGAGCAGCCTCCGCAGGTGTGCCTGCCATCCCTTTGGATCAGCGTGCCTGCGCCAGCAAGTGACGGCTGGACCAGGACACTTGCCGGACTGTCAGTCTAGAACAAGGATCTGTGAAGGACTTTCAAGACCAGCAGCTGTGGCGTGGCGTGGGAAGGCATGCGCGAAAGGCACGGCCAGGGGGGATGCACCGGGGGTCGCCTGAGCATGAGCTCAGGAAGAAGCTGCTCCTGAGGCTCAAGGCAACCCTCCGATCAGGGACGGCGACTCAGGCTGCAAGCCGCTCGTTTGTTTTTGCAAGGCCGGAATGTGGAGCTGCACGCCAACGTTGCATGAACGGGCCCGTTTTGAAAAAGCCAGTGGTGGCAACAGTCAGTGCTCACCGTGTGCCACTGGGAGGAGCCGTGCATGTGCAAACCAGCGGCACAGGTGCCGGGGTAAACGCTGCAGGCCGATTATGGATCCAAAGACTGAACAGGCTACAGATGCGGTGAAGGAGTACTCATTTTTTCATTAAATTTTCTTCTAAAATACAACCAAAAAAGATTAGAAATGCCATCATAACAAATAAACGTGCAATTAAAAGAATCGTTAACAATACTGTGCCCCCCCCCCCCCGATGATAGGAGACATGCTACAGATAAAAAGGACTCACTCGAGCGTTCTTTTGGGACAATTTCCCCATCCGCAACTGCAGTGTTTCTCTGGTTGGTTCAAATCCTTTACCTTTTCTGTAAACACATACTGAAAAAATGTGTCCCAAATCTCATTAAACTTATTTCTCTTTATATGCCCCCTTTTCAGTCTAACATCACAGGATAATTTATCATTTATAGCTATACTCCAGACTTCTTTATACCAACCACACAAGTGATAATCATATTTTACTTTCCAGTTCTTAGCTATGATTAATTTCACAGCCATTATTACATTTCTTATTAATTTTTTATTATCCCAACTCCATTGTTTCTTGTCAAATATTGAAAGTAATGTAATCTTATGGCATATTTCTAAATTTAAACTTAATAGTTTACTGCTCTCTTTAAAAACCTCTTCCAAAACTTCATTATATATTGCCATTCTCATCACATATGAAAATAAATACCTACTCGTCACCACATTTCCAATATAAATGGGAATATTTGTTATCTATACAATTCAGCTTCACAGGAGTTAGGTACCATTTCCAGACAAGTTTATAGAAAGTGAGGACAAAATTAAAATTGTGATGGTATAGATCACAAAAGATAGGGGGACTGGGCATCCCCCATATGAAGTTATATTACATATCTAATCAAGTGAGGCATATACAGGATGTTATATTACAACCTGATAAGGTAATATGGCTGAAATTAGAATCTTCTTAACTAGAAGGATCCTTGATAGATCTTATTTTTAAATTTGAGAATAAAATATTATTAAAAGGTATACGGTCCTTTCTTTAAAAATGTATTACACATTTGGAATAAGGGAAAATGTATGCCAGCAATCTCATCATCATGCCCAATTACTGAATTAGAAGGTTTTCCATTAAATCAGAGAGAGATTTTAGGGGAAATAATTAAAAAATAAATAATTAGATTAAAAGATTGGTCAGATAAAATGAATAAAAATGGGGAGATAGAAGCAATGTCAGGAAAGCAGACTATAACTTGGTATAACGTTATTCCATTACGCTGTTGAACTGGAGAACAGATAAAGGAAAGGGGCAGATGTGGGGAGAGCACAAAATGTGGATACGATTATACAAAGGGAAAAACAGGAGGATGTGCAGATGAAAGGGACAGTAAGTAAAATTTATAAGATATTGTCAAAAGAACGGGATCAATATGATTCCCTTAAAGCAGCATGGGATTTAAAAAGCAGCATGGATTTGAGAAAGGAGATCAGTAATGAAGATTAGGAAAATACTTGGATGAAGCAGAAACTAAAGTGCATGTCAGTAAGAGTAAGTGAGCAAAAGGAGGCGGGCAGGACTGCTCCTCGCCGCGCCCGTGGCCAGCCTGCTTGATTACCTCTTGCCCAGGGCTCCATCTGAATCTTTCCGGGGAAATCGTCCAATTATCATCCACTGCAGCTGGAATTCCAGCTTGCCTTGGATGCCAGAATGCTGAAGCCAGAATTAAATATTCCAGATCGGAACTGAATGGTGGGGGTGAACCGATTCATTCGCTGGTCACGTTAAAGGTTGCTTCATTAAGCGTTCCAGCTAACATTTGTTTATTTACGATTTATTTATGATTTTGTATTTATGCTTTTCATTTGTGTGCCACCACAATAGGTCATTGTTGAGCTCCCTGAACAGCTTTCAAGGATTAAACAACATAATATTTTAAAATCGGTGACACTAAAAACCATCCCAAAACATCAGTAATACAAAACATAACTGAGCAAATTAAGATCATTACATAAAGCTTAATGTAAACAATTTTAAATAAATAATACACACTAAGATAAAACTGTAAGTCAAGGACAAGTTAAAATCAAAGTCACCATTAAAATCAACGGTTCAAAATCAGTCGGAGAAGAGAAACGTCTTGGCCAGCCCCAAAATGAGAGCTGCAAGGCACCAGGCACACCTCTCTGGGGAGCCCCCTTCCTCGCGGATCTGCTCTCTGCGGCTTTTGGGGGGGGGGAAAGCAGGGGGGCTCATGCTTGGGGCAGCCCCCGCTTCGTGTTTGGCGCATGCAGACGGAAGGGCAAGCATCCAAGTGTGCCAACGCCCGGCGCTTCCGCGTGCCACCTTCGCTGGCCAGCATCATTCTGCCAGCTTGATCGTGAGACGAGGGGCTTGCCCACGGCCCACGGTCCTCCTTGCCAGCATGCCTCCAAGTCTCTGCAGGCCTTGCGGCGGCCGAGCAGGCCCTGCGTCTGGCTTGCCGGCGAGCCCAAGTGCTGCGTGGCCCCGTAGCCCAAGCGGAGCTCCAGGGTGGCTCTGCCCTGGGGGGCGACAGCCCCCGCCAGGTGCAGCCTGCCTTGATTTCATCAATATAGCGTGGACATTGGCCAGCAAGCTGGCTCTGTATACTGAGTAACTATTTTTTGAATAAGATTTTGGATATTTAGAAAGTCTGTCAACTGACCAGAGAGCTTTGGCTATCGGGCAGTATAAAAACGAAACGAAGAAAGAAAGAACAGTGTTACTGGCTGGAATAACTGCAACTTGCAGGACTGAAACCGGCTTTCTTCCAAACGTTTTCAAAATTGCGCTCACCAATTAACTTTAAAAATCCCCTCCTGCGCCATCAGTTTTTGATACTCCCGTCGTCCCCCATTCCAGCAAATTGCTCTTGCCGGCGAGAAACTTACTGACTTAGAGAAACCCGTGCCGTGTTCCGTAAACTGAAGGAATTGTTCATGTCATAGAATTTAGTCATTCAATCCCAAAAAAGCCATTTTGGCTTAGTGCCTTTAGAGATGGGATAGAAATGTGTTTGGTTCATATTAGACCAGATTTAGAACAAATCTAATTAGCACTTTCCAAACTACCATGAAAACAACAGCACAGTTTTGTGTTTTTCCAAAAATGTATAATCAGCTGAAATGCATGCCAATTATGTGGATTTGTTATTAAAAATGTCCAAACTAATGCAGAAATGAAACAGAACAAGCATATATTTCAGCAAGTTCAAAAGCTGTAAAAACAAAAACAGACAGATATTGGTCTATCCCTGGTTGTTGTCACAACTTCTGGTTGCAATGATTTCCTGAAATAGGGTATTGTTACTCTATATCCTGAACTGAACCTGATGGAGACTGTTTGTTATATAAACACACCCTCTGCTGAGTAATAAAGCCAGGGTGGCCTAGTGCTTAAGAGCTCAGGTTTGGGACACAGGAGCTCCGGGTTCTGGTTCCTGCTCAGCCACGGAGCCCACTGGGCCACTTTGGGCCACTCACAGACGTTCATCCCAGCCTACCTCTCAAGGTTGTTGTGGTAGAGATAAGACTGAGAGCAGGAGGAGGAAAATGATGCAAGCTGCTTTGTGTTCTTTTAAAGAAAAAAAGGCAGGATATAAATGAATAAATAAAAATTAATAAGCAAACAAAGAGGCATCTGTACATGAAAGAGCATCTAGTCCAAATTATAACATTGGGGCAGCTAAGGGAGAAGGAGAAGCAAGGCAAAGATGTGGAGATGGGCGCAAATCCATGTGCAGGGACTTGCCTTCCATTTGGGGTGAAAGAGAGCAGTCCCTTCCTCATGCTCAGCCGCTCTTGGTATGGCATGGAGAGCCATTTTAACAAAGTCCTGCAGGCACAGACCAGGGCTCCGCTCATCCTGATGGGACTTGTAGTTGGCCAGGGCAGCAAGTGGTGTGCAAAATGGCGCTTTTGGAAAGCTCTTCCCGGCAGCCTGGCCTGAGATGCTTTTTCTTCCCCGCAGGGGTGATCGCCCTCTTCTGCAGACAGTACGATATCATAAAGGACAATGAGCCAAACAACAATAAGGAGAAAGCCAAGAGTACATCTGAAAACAGCACCCCGGAGCACCAGAGTGGAGGGCTCCTGCGCAGCAAGGTGAGAAGGACCGGGCGGGGGTGGGGGGCAGGACTCTGAGCCCCCCGGCAGAGCTTTGCACCCCTTGCAGAAGCCGGAAAGGCAGGTACTGCCGCGCTGCACAATCCTTCCTTGTGGAAAAGGCCCGATCCATGTGGTCGCCAGGAGCTTCTCCGAAAATGAATTTGGCTGTGGGCTCAAAAGAGATTCTGCGCTCATTTTGTAGCACGGAGCAGGTCATATGTGGGCAAGTGTGGAGGCCAGGAGGTGCCCTTCAGCCACCCCGGTGCCTTCGCGGAGATTTGCATGACTCTGAAGCCTTGAAGGCCGACCTCTTCCCACGGTTCCTCACGGTCAGTGGGACGAGCTGCCCGGAGAGGTGGGGGGCTCTCCCACATTGGAGACATTCAGAAAGCAACTGGGCTGCCCCCTGAGTGGGTGGTGTGACTTCGTGTCCTGCAAGGGCAGGGACTGGCCCCGATGGCCGTCAGGGCCCCTTCCAACCCTCCCTTTCTATGATTCCATGGAGTGAAAGGCTGCAGGCAGCAATGCCATTTTATCCCTGGAAGGAAATGTAAAGCGCCAGTGAAGCAAAAGGGGAAGCAGGAAGCTGAAAGCTCAAGGAAGTCACGAGTAATATCCTTGGGGAGGGCATGTTCTTCTACCCCCTCTCCCCTTGGCTGCAGCCTGAGCCTGCCTCTGTGGGATCAAGCTTTACAAATCCCCACCTGCTCCATCTATGTTTGGTGTTCCTGTTTTCCCGGTCCCAGCAGGCTGCTCTTGCCAGCTAGAAACTTATTGACTTTAGATAAACCTGTGCCAGGTTTCACAAGATGCCACGGTGCCCCCCTTGCAGCAGAAGTCACTTTAGGACCCACAAGGCTGCCCTGCCATTTTGGGAAACTTCTGTCTTTCAGTGGAGGGAACAAGGCAGACCTTTAGGAAGCGATCTGAAGTTGACGCAGAGTGAGAGAGTGGCCCGTCTGTGGATCCGTTCCGCAGCAGCTCCAAATGTCATGCTGACACCAGCGTCCCAATGTCCTAAAGGCAGGCTTAATGCAGGGCAGTCTGCCTCCCCTGCTCCAGATGGCGCAGGCCTGCGCAGACTCCACCACCTGTCTTGGTGGGCGGGAGGCTCTTCCGTGTGGTCATCACCTTCGGGACAAGTAGCTGCGTGCGTGGAGCTGTCTGTGCAAACTCTAATCAGCGTCTTTTGCTGAAGCAGTTCTGGTCCGTAACTGTAATAGAGACTGAAAAGGGGCAGAGAAGGTTTGTGTTCCTTCAAACAGTGGCCTGGTTTGGACAACACGACAGCCCAGCGTGGGTCAGCTGACCCGTGCGTTGCCACAGTGCGTGTCATTCACCATTATGAATATGGAAGCCCCAGCCATGGGTGGCCAGGTTGTCCAGACATGGACCATGGGGGTTATTGGAGAGGTAAGCAACCCTTGCAAACCAGTTTACTTTAGAATTGTGCAAGGTGCTTATTGCCCAACAGCCCCTCCAGGTGCTCAGCACCCTGGCGGCGCTGGGCCAGAGTGCTCCCAGTGGCCACACAGCTCCTCCTGGGTGAATGGACCTGCAGTGAGCTGTTGCGTCATGCAAAGTGGTGCCGTACAGAGTAGCTTACTCTTACTGAAGCTGCAATCCAGTGCACCTTCACTAAGGTGTAAGCCATGCCAAACATAAAAGGACTCACTGCTGAGTAAGTATGTATTAGGTTGCACTGGCAATTGCAAGCGATCTCACACTTTCATCAATATTAGAGGAAAAACCTATAATGAGATATTGGTCAGGCTACATGATTTAGTGGATAAATTAGATAGATTTATTGATTAATAACCTTTTGAGTAATTAAAAACATCCACGATTAATCAGGGGCTACAAATCCATACCCTGACTAATCACAGGTACCATTGCAGTTACTCAAAAGGTTGCCCCCCCTTTGATGGACTGGGTGTTTCTTCTGAGGCCATCCTGCTGGGCGGGCGCCTTCGGAACCCGGGACCAGTCAGCCCTTGCCATTCTGTGGGAAGCGGGGCGTGGGGAGGCTTGGCAGCCGCTGCTTTGCTTGGGACAGGCAGGACCCTGGGCGGGGGCCCTTTGGAGTCCCACCCCAAGGCGGCTGGTGCGTTTGCTTACCGGGCGCAGTGGCAGGCACGGTTCCCGTTGCTTTCCTCTCACCGATGTGGTGGGAGTGCTGTGAAGCGAGTTGCTGACTGCAGCTGCAGCGGTTCCCCATATGCTGCTGGCCAGCCGGGGTGGCCCTGCCGGGCCTTCGCTGTCCATGGGGCGCCGACAGCAGGGTGTCCCCCCATGCACTGGGCCGGGCAAGAGCCCCGAGCTCTCCTCACTTTCCCTGGCTGCAGCCAAGAGCGACTGGACACCCACCTCAGCCTCCCCCGATTTAGTTGCTTAGCTGATGCGCTGCTCGCACTCTGCTGTGTCGGCAGTGGCTTTACTGCCACATTCCCTTCAGGGTCCTTTCCTTGCTCACCAGCAACTGCTGCTTCTCAGAGGAAGGCCCTGGCAACCCTATTCCTCCTGTCACGGCAGAGTTGCCTGCCAGAAACTTTCCAGCACCCGCTGAAGCCACCCTAAAGTGACACCAAATGACCCATCAGATCCACCCCGCCCTTGCACGTAATTGAGCGATTCATGTGGCAACAGCCCTAGGACTGAGGTTCTGGCCATGTCGAAAGCGACCTTTGATGAAATGGATTCATCGACTAGTTGAAGCAGTAGCCAAATATGCTTTCACTGGTCAGCCACCTTCACCTTCACATGGTCAAAGTCTGCCTTGGCAAGAGGGCAACCTGGCAGGTTGGATGAATCCATCTTTTGCAACAAGGTACCCAAGACGGCATTTTGTGTATGCAGCCCTGCAAATGCAAACTTTGGTCAATGGAATACAGCTGAGGTTGGCTCAAGGCTAGTTTGATTCCTCCTTTGTGCTGCAGAACAATGTGAAAGTAAAATACTTACAAAGCCAGACTTGCTGTGACCTCTAGCCTGTCAAACACACACCTCTTTAGCCTGTTTCACATCCTGTCCAAACTCAATATGCTCATCTTCCCACGCGGTGTCGTGTGCTCATTCTCACCTGCAGTCTCTCTCTCTCTCTCTCTCTCTCTCTCTCTCCCCCCCTCCCTCCCTCCCTCCCTCTCCCTCTCTCTCTCTGTCTCCTAGTTTCCCAAAAACAAGCCTTCAGTGAACATCATTGAAGCATGACAGCCTGGTGGATGGACTCCATTTCTCCTTCCTGCGCTCACTTTCGGTTTCCCCCTCCAAGACTGGGCAACTGAAGAGGTGAAACATTGCAGGAGCTGTTTGGAAAGCGTCCTGCTTGGGCTGCAGATTGCAGGTTCCAGTGGCTCCATTTCTGCCCTGGAGAAAAAGAAGCCCCTGAACCCAAACCAACGTGGATCAAAAGAAGGACAAATATATATTGCAGCTGCATATCGAGAATGGAACATTTCCACCAAAATCATCCCGATGATGACTTGGGGCCCATCTTGACTTCTTGAACTGTGCTGTGCTGTACTCAAACATCTGGCCATTCGTTGATGGAGCTAGCAGGGGTGCCATCTTGCACCTTGACTGTCTCTTGCCATCTCGTCCTACAATCTTAATCTCCACAAAAACGTTTCATTTCATTGCTGGTTTGCTTTCTGCTCACTGCAGCTCAGTTTTTCAGTAGGAGATGCTGTCCTGGTTTCCAGATGCCAACTGGCTGCATCTCTCCTCTTCATGAGAACCCCGAGAACACCACTTTCCTTCAACCACAAGCCAAACAAGGACTTTAGCTCTCAGTTCCAGGCTCTCAGTCTTGCTGTTTGTGTGTCAAACACAAACAATTTGCGGGGATTTGATCTTTTTTCTTTAAAAAACAGAAGCACATAAGCTATTCCACCTGGGTTCTCTGGACTCCACTAGCTGCTTATTATAGGTTATTTTGAGTTGTTGAGTTTCCTGTTTTCCTCCCTAGTTTGGCGTGTTGTGCATTGTTTTACCTAACAGAGAATGCAAAAAAAGAAGAAAATCCCTCCAGCTCTACAGAACAGCAAAGTCCAACTTTACTCATAGCCACAAAGCAAAGCATCTACAGCATTCCCAGGGGCTGGGAGGGCTGCTCAGTGCCCTGCCTACACCACAGATCTAGGTCAGTTTTATCCCACTTCCACTTCCTTGGCTTCTTCTGGAGAATCCTGGAAATTTTAGTTTGGGGAGGTGCAGAAAACGAGAGCTTTTCTTCAGGAGGCACTGATCACGTGCTCGTCCTTCCCTGCTCACAGCTGTTTCCAGGTTCTGTAGATAACATTGGGAGCCTCCAGTTTCATTTTTGTGTCCACTGAGCACTTTTGGTGAGTTTTTTGCAATAGGAAGAATGCTGCATTTAATTATGAAAATAGGAAAGAAAGAGCTTTTTCACTTGCTCATTGCCATTATTTCGCTATACAAAAGTGCCACCTAGAAGTTACACAGCAGAAAAGCCAGAAGGAAAATGCTTGAAGTGGTCCTCAGGGGGCGGTTCCGTGGTGAACCCAAAGGAGATCTGTTGCATTCACAGGCAGAAGACGAGCCCCACTGGGTCAGGCCAGGGGCGCCTCTCCAGCGCTCCTCCTCCCCCCATTGGCCAAGTGGATGCTCCTGGGAAGCTTGCAGGCCGCCCTCGTTTGTCCCTGGCCGGTCGCCCTCTGAGCAGCAGCCGTCGTTGGGTCAACGCCCGATGACCGCCTGCAGTCCCTTTTTAGGCCCTCTAGGCTGGGGGCCATCATGAAGTCTTGTGGCTCTGTCCAGCCAAAGGGCCCATTTAGCGAAGAAGCCTTTCTCCTTGACAGCCTGGAGTGTACTGCCGCTTTTTGGAGGACCCTCCATCCTTCTGTGCCAAGAGTGGCACGCCAAGCCCCTTCCTCACAGAGCCACCGCCCGTGTTCCCCGTACGGCATCGTTTCTTCCTGGCATTTCGAGTCAGCAAAGAGGTCCGATGTCGCCGCCCCAGCAGCTTGATCCATCTGCAAACCACACCATGGCCCCAGCTTAATCCTGGCCATCCTGCGGTCCCCCAAAGTGAGCTGTGGTTACTCTGCAGCGGCTTGCACCAAGAGGTGGGCCGTTTGCTGTGGACCGCATGTGAATGCGGAAGAGACCTGTGGAGGCCAAAGCCCCAGAACAGAGCTGAAATTGTTTTGTGCAGAAAGACTTTCAAGTAAAATCTCACTCAACTTTGCTGCAAAAGTTCAAGCAAATTGAATGGGTCCTGTGGGATATAGAATAGCGTGTTACTGGGGAGGGTGTAAAATTCAAAATCTGTCATTACTTAATGTCACTGCCTTAACGTGTCTTTCCAGCGAGTCTTATTATGTTTTTTTAATCCCTTAAAATTGACTTCTACAAAATCAAAATGTGAGGAAAAGCTTTTCAGTTTGGTTGTTTTTACCCCCGTTTCCCTGCATCCCCCACAGGCAACGCACTGACGGAGCTGCAGCCGTGCAGGCCCTGGGCCGGCAGGGAGCTTGGTGGGCGATGAAGGCTTTAGACTAGCGATTCCCGGATCCAGGCCCGACACCTGGCCCCGGAGGACGTATGCAACTCATGCGTGTAGTGGGGGCAGAGGAGGCATGTGCCCCCGCAGTGTGATAGCTGCAGACAGTGGTGTTCCTGGACTGGAATGCTGAGGGCTTTGCACACATCAAGTGGAATTAGCATGTGCCACAGCCTTGTCCCCCCGATACGGCAGGCCTGTGGGGGGTTTGTGGGATTCAGCACCTCCATTCGGCTCGGTGCCCTCCAGATGTGCCACTGCCATAGGTGGCCCCCCAGCTTGGGGATTATGGGACCTGTAGACCAACAGATCCAAAATGCCAATGTATGGGTCGATCTGAGAAGGCCGAGCGCCTCCATCTCTAGCCACAGGAAAAATAAAGAACTGGCTCAAGACGGGGGCCACCCCAAGCACCACTGGGGCTTTCAGCTCAAGGCCAGCACTGTCCAGAACGGAAGGGTTGGGAAGAGCAGCACAAGATGCAAGCGTGAGCTTTCAGGCAGGGAAGGGGCCGCCAGCCTCCTCGCTCTGCTTCTGGGCCTGATGCACATGCCTGGGCACGGTTCTTTCTGGGGACAGGCGTAGCCAACCTTTTCCTAAGAAGCAGTGTCTTTATGCCCACTCAATGGATATAACTGACATTACAGTGATTAAACATATTCATTTAATCACATAAGGAGTTAAGATGATTGACAGTACATCTACAGCCCTGTTTTCATGCCAAGTCCAAGTTGCACATGGTCAAGATGGGCATTTCTTCGTTCTGGACCCCGAGAAGGCTGGAACCACACAACAGGGACAGACACTCCCATCTGGTGCTCCCGAAACCAGAGCTGAAAGTGCCGCCATCCCAACTCCTTTGGGCTATAAAAGGGAGGGAGGCAGGATTCTTTGCGGTCCATTGGGCCCAAGGGTGAGCAAAGGCTGCAGAGGCAGGGGAGAAGGCTGAGAAAATGAGGCATGGTGGCCAGGCATCTCACCTTCCACCAGTGATGAGAACCACTGAGGGGTCCCAGCAGGAGTCCCTCAAATCCTAGAGCCTGGCCTCCATATTGCCATACCCCTGCCCTTTCCACTTGCCTTAAAGCGGAGCTCCGATTCCCCTCGCCTGGAACCTGGGCTGGCTAAATGGAAGCCTTGTGCCAAACAGGACAAGGGAGGGTGTGTGCGTGCGATACCAGCCGCCCCGAAAATTGAGAATTAGTCCAACTTTGCAGCAGTATTTGCACTTCTGCTGAAGGACTTTCCAGCACTGCTCTCTCCTTGCGAGTCCCACCTGCCTTTCCCACATTCAAGCATTCACACGGCCCTCCCCCAGGCTGCAAAGGGGAGGTGGAGGGGTGCACATGCTCCAAAACATTAGCCTTTGTAATTGCAGGCTTAAAATGTGCCATTAGCAAGTGAAAACAAAACAAAGCCTAGAAGCGATTCCACGCTTCATAGAGAGGATTCAAGCTATGAACAGCAGCCACCATTTCTCTGAAAGGGAAGCGATAAAGGAGAGGGAAAATAGTAAGAATACGCTATGGCACGCAAGGAGTTATGCGAAGGGGAGACAGACAGATGTGACAAGCTTAAGACACAGAAAGTGTTGCTGCATCACCTTAGAAGGGCATGTTCCAGGCTGGATCACGAAAACGGGGCTTTACAAGGCTATGGAACAACCCAGAGAGGAACCAAAATGGAACTGGAATCGCTCCTAGCTTCCAGCCTTTGCCAGAGCCGCCTGTATGGGAGACGAGCCCCCCATGCTTGCTTCGGTTGTGCAGATGCTTACAGGAGATACAAGAGACGGGGAAGATGTCTGCTGTTTTTTTCCTACCAAATTATTGCTTGAGCAAGAGGCTGCACCAAAGACAGTGCCTGCTGCATGGCCCGGAGAAGCACCACCTTCTTCTCGGAGGGCTTTGGTTGCTTCTAGATTGACACGTACCCAGGCAGGCCATTTGTCGTTAGAGGAAGGGCCACGCAGGCGAGGAGCACCTCTGAGGCTACTTCTGCTAGGAACTTGCAACCAACCGGAGCATTTCAAGAGAGGGTGAATCATTTCCCTTGCTCGTCCGCCTACCTGGTCCATTCCATCTCTCATCGCCGATGCCTTGGGAGCAAAGTACATGGGCTGCCTCCACCGCAACGCTGTTTGCAGTCACATGAAATGCTTGCCTGCAGTGCCAGCTGGGCACGCAGCCAACTGACAGGCACGCACCTTGTGACTTCTGAAGGCATGCAAATATGCAACAAACCAGGATCAAGAAAATAGCCAACCACTCACTGTGGGAGAAGAGCAGTGTGCCACAAGATTCTTAAAAGGCACAAACATTTATGAAAGTGATCAAAGTGCATCTCAAGCAGAAAGCTGAAACCTCCAACATAGGTAGTGAGGAAATTCAAGGAATAAGCAAACAAATATTTCTATCAAAAACACACACTAACTGGGGTTTAACGTTAAAAAATTGTTGTAATTATACAACAATATAAAGGTCAGCCGGCTGAATGTCAGCAGCTAGGTTACTTCTGAAGTGCAGGATAAAAACACAGGCAGTGGCAAGGCTCCCCTAGCCCAGGGCGGTGCTTCGCTCAAAGCGATCGGGGATCGCAGCAAACCGACGGACGTTGTAGCTGTTCCTTTCGACCCACTGCTGAAGGCTGAATCGCTGGACTGTGCAATTGCTTCGCTGGGCAAAGTTCCTGGATGGGGCAGAGAGAGGAGAAGCTGAAGCGGGCAGAGAAAAGAAGGAACTGCAGACATCTCCTGTCCCCATCCAAGCTGCTCTTGCCAGGGTCCCTCCCAATTTGCCTGCTGTGGCAGACCAAAAGTTTGGATGCAGCCCACTGATGTGCCAAGCCAAGTGTGGCTGGCAGGTGCAAACTGAGCACCAAGCCCCCCTCACACGAGCAGTCACTTTCTGCACCTGGCATTTGGAGGTATGGGACCTGCAAAGGGACCCTTTCACTCCTGCAGATAACAGGCTGATCACCCTTGAGTTCTACCTGTCCTGTTGCAAAACTATGATCTAGAAGGCAACACCTCATCTTATGCAAGCCAATTCCTTAAGAGAATTAACTGTTCTTACTGGATATAGGAGAGGCATATTAAATAGCAAAAAATATCTTGAGCAAAATCCAGGGCAGTATCAGGAAACCACAGCAAAAGGAATTTTTGGCAAGCATTTTATTTTATTTTATTTTTAGTGCTGGGAAAGCTTTTCCTGTCAAGACCCCACAGCTGTTTGAAGGATTCTTCATGCATGACAGTTCGACTCTCCTGCGTCAAGGGAAGGATCCTGGGAAACATCAATGGTTTCATTTCAGTGCTGTTTGGGTCAAGCAGAAATTGCTGCCATCCCTACTGTTGGGCATGTCAAAGAACAGGGCTGCCCTGTCATGAGAAGCCGCAGCTTTGCCCCCTGGGCATTGCTGAGCAGAACAAACAGCGCACGCACTAATGGAAGTGGCAGCTGCACCAACAAAGAGCCGCCTCACTCTGCTGAAACCCGTCTGACCGGAGGACTGGCTTGCGAGGGTCCAGCAGATGCTCAGGGACACAACTTTTCAAGGCATTCTGGGAATTCACAAGGTTTTTACAGCCTTCAAGTGGAAAAAGCACTCTTCCCTTTCAGTCAGAATTCACAAGCCAGATTATCTCCTCCCCACCCCCAAAACCACACACATTTCTGTTTTATTACATAGTCCCCTCCTTTGCTTAAAGGAGGGGATGAAAGCTTTGGGGGTACCCATGTTAGTTAGCATGGCCAGAGCAATGACGCAACTACAAATTATTGCTATTGTGAAATTTTCATTTTGTGGCCATTTGTCCCCACGGTGTACACTGAGCCAGTGTGGTGTATCAGTCAGGAGCACCGGGCTGGGACTCAGGCCATCGGGGTTTGAGTTCCCGTTCCGCCATGGGGCCAACAGAGTGCATCTGGGACAGTCACAGCCCAGCCTACTTCACAGGGCTGTCGTTGTGGAGGCAAGATGGAGAACAGGAGGAGAATGATGAAAGCTGCCCTGAGTACTTTGCAAGAAAAAGGGGGGATATAAATCCAATAAATACACATTTTCCCCCCACTGTGCTTGGGGGTGATACATGTCACAGTGGACGGAGCTGACCCAGTGCAGAAGAGCTTGTCATGATACGCTTTTCCATTTTTGCTTGCGATTCTCAAGAAGGTTACAAGGCTGTCGAGCAGTTTAAGCAACTGCTTCCATCCCGGAAGGAAGCCCGCAGTGGGGTCCACTTTTATTCTCAGCTAGGGGAGCGCAGTACCTCACAGTCAGGTCGGTTGGATGCTCGAACCCGGGTTCCCGGCTCTGGGCAGCAACCTTCCTCATCAGCTCATGCAATTCATTGACTTCGCCTGAAACTGGGCACAGCAAGAGGTTAGTGGGGGGGGGGGTGCAATCCAGCATGGCTGCTTGGCTATAACAGAGACAGGCCCTTCCCCTCTCAAGTCCCACCAGAAGCAGCATTTCTCTGGCACCAGGAAGAGCCTGTTTGCTGCAGGCGAATGTGCCAAGACCCCCCCCCCCCAGGCTGCTTTGAGGCAGCACATCTGCACCACAGTCGAGATTTATGCACCTGGTCGAACTACGGTGGAAATCCAGATTCAGTCCCTTGAAAGACAGACGCATCATTTTGAGAATGGACTTCCCAAGTCGGACGAGGCATGTCACAGCTTACTGACTGCTAGGGCAGAACGGCAGTGGAGCCCATGGCCTGGGGAGGTGGGGGCGCATTCAAGAGGCAGCTGGCCGCTCTCTGCCAGGGATGCTTCAACTTGGGAGTCCTGCACTGAGCAGACTCAGGCCCCATGGCCTTACGGGCCCCTTGATTCCGTGTAAACTCCAGAGGTGCAAGAAGAATTTTTTGCTTCCATGCACCTAACTGGAGCAGACATGGAGGAGGACAACCGGGGCTTTCTTCAGATCTTGCCTTTCCTCAGGCTGAGAAGCTCAGAGGTGCTGCTGGGCACAATTCTGGTACCACGCAGATGGCCTCAGCAGGCCGGGTCCCAAGGAAATGTGCTGCTCAAAAGGGAACACTTCAGAACCAGGAATCTTTTCTTTTCTAGATTGGCCCCTAATTGGTTTCCATCGAGAAGTGCAGCCTGCTAAGAGCTTCAACCGGAACTTGGCAAGGCCAAAGGCGTCAAAGCTGCCGCGCGCTGCCAGTGCATTGCTGCAGCTGGACCACAAATGCACTGACCACTGAGGGCTCCGCCAGCGCATGGCCTTAGGGGAGAAGAGCCACCCCCACGCAAATCCTCTGGGCCTAGCAAGTGACCTCTGTGCAAGCGACGCCACCTGGATGCCAGGCTGCAGCACCACGGGTGGAAAGGCTCAGCTACGCAGCTGCTGACCGACCAAAGCTCATTTCCTGCACAGAGGTGTGGACATGGAGAGGCAAGAGGCTGTTCCACCAGTTTATGCTCCTCCCGGCTCTCTGGCACAGAGCAGTCTTCATGCTCAAAGCAGCACAAGAGCCACTTGTGGCGAGATGCTGCAGGAAAGGGTTCGGCATCCCTGCTGGCAGCATTCAAAGCGCCATGCGCAAAGTGGGCAAAAGCCAATTCGAAACGCCAACGGCCAAAAACTAGGCCCAGGCTCAGCAGGCGAGATGCACCAACAACCTTTCTGACCCTGGGAGCCAAAGGAGACCCCCATACTCGTTCGTGCTGACAGACAAACTCCAGGCCCGTGCATTTCCTCCACTGTATTCTAGCGCCATCTGCTAGCAAACAGGAGGAAAGACTCTGGCCCTGCCTGGACAGGACTGGAGGCACGCTCTTCTCCTACCGGACATATGCGTGGTGAGACAAGAGTCACGTGCACCTTGCAACCTCGCCAGCACACAGAAGAGGCGGAGCTCAGAATGTGGCAGCGCTCGCAGGTTTGCTGCCCAAGCCATGCATGTCTGCCAGAACCCAGGTCTTAAGTCAGAACCGCTTGAGCAAATACTAGCCACATTGTGCCCCAGTGCGGCCTCAGCAGGCTGGTCACCCAACCAGCCATTCCATGGATCTGGAAATAGTGGCTTGCAATCACAGCAGCTTTGCCATTCAAAAGTGAAAGGCAGAGAAGCATGAAAGGGATTAAGAACAGAAGGTGAAGGTCCCTCACACAGCTGCAAGTATCAGCCTCACAAGGGGCTCAGAGATGCACACGGTCTACAGAAGGAGGTGCAGAGGACCCATTCTTGCTCCCTAGAGTTGCTTTTCTGTCCAGTTTCCAAGGCTGCTTCGACCTTGGCCTCCATTTCAGCAGCTACTGCACGCCTACCCAGCCAGGCAGCCCGTATGCTAATCACCCTTGGAAGCCCCACAGGAAGCATGAAATCTAGCCCAGGCCGATGGGGTGTACTTTGGAGAAAGCTGTGAGATGTTCATTCCACCCACACCTGTAAGTTGTCAGGTAAGAGTCCATTTTATTTATTTACTTGAAAAGGTTTATGCAATGCCTTTCAAAACACAGCATTTTCCTAAGGCAACATATAAAATATAATAAATCAATTCACAATACATAACAGCAAGCAGAAAGTGCCATAACATGTCCTTTCATTCCAGCCAACTATTCTACCATAAAATCTAAAAAACAGGGCAGTAAAAACACCCTGCAAACCTAACCCATCCTTCTCAATCAAAAGCAGCCCAATAAAGCAGCTTCGCAGAGCCCACCCAAAGCAGGGAACGGGCTGGTCTGAAGTCCTAAGCGGGGCCCCCCAGGCGGACCGCTTTGGCCTGTCAGCCTAACTTAGGGCAGGCCCATGCGGAGGCATCCAGTGCTACCAGCCAGATGATGGCCTTGTGCAGCACTTTCGCCCGCCCCTCCTTATGAGACCTTCTGCAGGAAGGACGATGATAGCAACATGTTGAACTGCATGCACGACGGCTCCACGAGCACCTCTTCAGGCAGCGCTCCGCTCCCCGATGGGCAGATGAGCAGGCCTCAGGCAGGCTCGGGCGGCATCGGCAGCTTTTTCAGTTCATGCCGCACACACCTCCTTCACTGGACTGTCCACTTACAGCTCCCCCGCCCCACCCCGCCCATGAGGCTGTCCATGGGAGCCAGCAGGTTACCCGAAAATCCTCTCCCGTGAACCTCCTCTCCCTGTAAGCAGAAGTGGCGGACCTCCCATGCAAGCCCAAGTGTGCAGGGTTTTAATCTGCCTCTTCTCCCTGAAAGCTGCTGGCTGATACTGAGTTCAAACCTCTTTCCTTCTGTGTGAATGGATGAGGTTTAGCTGCCCTGCTCATGAAATGCATAGTAAGATTAAAGGCACAAGCAGCCCCTCGTCACCTTCTCTCCACATTATGACTCCCGGATGAGGATGCTAGAAACGGCCCACCAGGTGTGCACCTGTTTGTACCGAATGCACAGCGAGACAGAAACTTTGGGCAAGAAGCAGAATTGCTGATTTCCCCAAGAAAGCCTCTTCATCTACCCAAGAAGAAACCAGAAAATGGGTCACAACTGTGAGCCTGAGGACGGTCTTCCAGTTCCGGGGAGTTCTTATAGACTCAGCCCTGGCTGAAATAAGACGCATGTGGCCCATACCCATCTGCTTGCCCCTCAAGGCAATCAAGGGGCACACATGATGCGCTCCATGCTGTGTCACATGCAAAGATCCAGCGCATGACAGAAAAGAGCCCCGGAGCAGAATGGTTGTCCAGCACACTCACGGCAGCCAGGATGACGTAGCAGCAGATTTGTGACTATGGGCATTGATTTATTATTTATTTATTTAGGAGACTGCTATGTCGCCCCATTCGCCGAAGCCTCGGGGCACCTACGTTCAATGCCGCTGGGGCACAGAACCTTTGAGCAGACCCAGGGGCTGCTGTGCTTCAGGTCGGGGGAAGAAGCCTGCACCCCCGCGGTGGCCACCGCTGCCCAGCCGCCGAATTCAGGGACAGGAGGATGGTACGGTGCTTTGGCTGCCACAGAGCAACCGAGGGTTGAATTTAGCTGGTTCACGTGCCATGTAGAAGTGTCCCACCAATTCATTGTGTGGAAAGTGTCAAATGAAGCCTGCAAGCAAGATTACGTTGAAGACCTTTAGCTCTACAGAGCTGTTTGCCACCAAACGTCCATGACAGCCAGCCAACCTGTAGCATGAAGCTTGCATGTGTGAATGCACAGGTGTGTTTGGGGGCCAAAGTGGTCCCCAGGTCTGCTGCACTTGCCCATCCTGCTTGAAGTGAACCTACCACATAAAATTACTCAGATAACCTCCTCAAAACAATCCAAGCTCCTTGAAGAAAGGCTGATTTGAGTGCAACAAATACAGGCAAGGAAAGGAAAGATGGCCTCTCCAATTGGGAAAGATTCCTTCCCAATCTCAACTAGAATCACAGTAACCCCCTCCCAAAAAAGCCCACCTGGCCCCCACTCTGGCCTGGAAGGGTAAAAGCCAAGCAAGGAGGACATGCTTTCTGGAAGCTACCCCACCCAAGGGGAACCTTTTGCGGCCAACCCAAGATTCCCCCAGATGTGCCCATACATGGGTTTGAGAAGGAGGCAGTTCCATGACCCTGAAAGACAAGACTAGGGGAGTGCATGAAGTTTTCCTCTCTCTTGCTTACATTCCTCTAAAATGTGCTAAAAAGGGAAGCTGTTTTTTCCCCAGGGCTCCACTTCGCCTACTTTGTGCACAGAGACCCTTTTTCCACCTCATACCCTGGAGTGCTTGATTGTCTAGTGCACACGCCAGGACCGAATCCCACTTCTGTAGACTACAGCTGCGGCGGCTGAACTCCAGCACTTCTCAGCCTCCAGCATGAGTTGGGTCAGGCTTCTGCTAACCCTCAAATGTAGCGAGTTCTGGCAAAACATACCTGGTCCCGGTGCAGCACAACGAGCATGGTTGAGGACAGCATAGATGTATTTTTCCTTGCTCTGCTCAAGGTCACTTTCTTGGATGCATATCCGCGTAGGCCTTAAAGGAAAAGAGGAGGAGAGAAGCAGTACAAAATTGCTAATTTCTTACAAGCAGAGTCGAAGTTACAGAGCGCGTTTTGGGGCCAATACAAAACAGCATGACCTCAACGAGGGCTGAGTGCCTTACAATCACTGTCCCATCTTTGGGAGGATGTGTGCCAATTATTTAATCATCAAGTCTCCCATGTTTATATTCACAGAAGCTGAACCACACCGTTCGAGATCAAAAGTTCTCGAAAACACTGTGATGGGGGGTGTTTACCCTGAAGAATTAAGAATTTAATTGGTTTTAAGATTTTTCTTTGCACCTTAATCTGTACATGAATTGCAGATGTGTAAAGTCGGTGCCTTCTCAGAATGCAGGGAAGAAAGCTAGAATTTAAGCAGCATTACAGAGGATTGTGCAAAATAAAAGACATTTCTACAAAGTTAAATCAGGGCCATAGGCCACAACCTGGCATCAAACGTATGGAAGATCTCTACATAATGTCACACTTCTGGTTCTGATAAGAAAATTTCCACCCTTCTGACCATAGCAGCGGGATTTAGTGCCATCTCCCACTGCTGAGATTTTTTTGTCCCTGAAGAACTGGAAATTGGGGGGATCTCAGCAGAAACAAAAGGATGCAGGAAAGAGCAGAAAAGATGAATTTAGATGACTATATGCAGACATAAGTATCTTTTACACCACACAGGAGCAGAGGAGTCTACACAAAACCTCCTCAGTAGTCAAACTGGGGGCTTTTGTACCAGCTAGAAGGAAAAGAGATGCAAGCGTTGGCACTGCCTGGAGTGGCATGCCCCCCACCCCCCATGCACCTCCCCAAGTTCCCACGATTAATCTAAGCTGTGCAGAGCAGCACATGGGCAGGCAGAGCGTGGAACCAAAAAAGGCCCGGATGCCAGCCTGGCTGCACACAGCACAGTGAAGTGTTCAGACCTCTTTGGCTCCCCGGTGCAGGGAACTTCCTCCTGAGCTTCTCTGCTGCCATTGGCAGAGTTGGGCAGTGCAGCCTCCTGGGAGCGGACAGAGCCTGATGGTCCTTCGGTCTCATGCAGCAGGCCGGCTGTGCTCGCTCTTCCTCGCTCTTGCTGCTTTGAGGAAGACAGACCTTCAGCCAGCATGTTACTTAAATCACACGTGGCCACCCGCTGGCGTACAGCTTGCAGAGTCTCTTCCACAGCCTGAGCAGCTTCCTGACCCGTCACCCCAGACACAGCTGGAGCCATTTCTGCAACTGTGGGACTGCTGCAACCTAACTCAAGTCCAGCTGGAACCTGAGAGCTCATGTTCAAACAGTTCCCACTCTCCTGACTCTCAGAGTATTTCCCGCAAGCACCACCACTTGGGGAGGCTGGAGGGCCAGCCAGAGGGAGAGGCTCTGAGCTCAAGGTCTTCTCCAGTCCACTGGGAAGCTGCCCTACTCTAAGAGATGCTACCAAGCAAACGTGCTCCACTTCCTGTGCAGGCTGCCCAGATATTACAGAACCTGGAAAATCCTCATCACTGGACAGGAGTTTATCCTCATCTTCAGGGGAAAGTCCGGTGGGCGAGTCTAGTTTTTCCCCATTCGAGGGCTCTAGTAAGGTGTCGTCCAGGTTACTATAATCACAGTCCCCACTGATGGCCGGAGAACAGACAGGAGAAGCTGCCAGCCCATTGCTTGGGGAAGGAGGCGGCAATGGTGACACGGAGGAGCTGCAGGTTTCTGCACAGCGCGGTCTCTTCACATCTGACCAACTCTCCTCAAGCTCTTCCAAGGGCCTCTTGCTCCTGCAAACTGAATCATTTAAGAAAGTGACTTTAAGATCACAATGCGGCCCAAAAGTGCAGGAGCGGAAAGTATTGCGCGCCATGACGCAGCTTTGCTGGTGTCCGTACACTTTCTTGCTTTCCTTCTTTCTTATGTTTTAAAGCTAAGATTGGGAGGTGCTACACTCAATCCTTTCTTTCAGTGAAAACACTTCATCATTACCTGTGAAAAGAAAAGCAAGACAGTCTGGCTGAAGGGATCTCTCTCTCTCTCTGCGCACCATCTCTCTCCACCCTCAACCTCACCTCAGCACTGGAACAAATTCACCCATTCCACTGCTTTGGGCTCTTCCCTCACAAAGACTGCATTTGCTTGGGAGCAGCCTTCACCCCAGTTCAGGAGTTCAGTTTCAATGAATTCTGTTAGAAGCCACAGGCAAGGAGAAAAACCTGTCCTGAACTTACTCTCTGGGGATGTAAACTGTGAAAGCTGCTGTAACCCAGAGCTAAATAGCAGGAGATTCTGGGGCAGCAGTGCATCCAAAGAGAAGCCACTTCTCTAAAGTCTTTGTTTAACAAAATATTAGGAGGAAATATGCCAGCATCTCCAAAGTATTCTATAATAGTTTTGATTCCTAAGCTTAAGAAGGATTTGACTAACCCAGAGTCTTAAAGACCTTTATCAATGATAAACTGAGCTGCAAAATTTTGACAACAATATCGGCAAATAGAAGAAATTTAATAAGTATATTAAAATGGAATAAAGTGGCTTTATAGTAGTGAGGCAGATGGCAGATTTGACCAGAAGAGTTTTGAACATATAGGTTATAGGCAAAGGGAAATCCAAAGCTGGCAGAATATCCCTAGATATTTTTAAAGCTTTTGATTGTGTGGAATGGTCAACAATAAAGTTAATAGGATTTGGATGATACTTTGCTAACAGTAAGGGATCCACTAGAAGCCATAGATTAGGTTAGATTACATTTGGAAGAATATGAAGAAATATTAGGTTTGAAGGATAAATTGGGATAAATTAGAAATGCTATTTAACAGTGATAAAGATAAAAAGGAAAAAATTAAGACATAAATTCAAGGTTAAGATATCTAGACTTATTAAATATTTAGGTATTAATATTACTAAAAATAGAATGTCTAAAAAGAATAATTTTGATAGGTTAAAAAGAAATAAAAGAAAAAATGATGGGATTCGGGAAAAATGGATTATCTTGTTTTGGTAGAATACTTATTTATGATGTCCCTGATTAAGATGATAAAGAATTAAAAGAATGGCAAGATATGAGCAATAAGTTTTGTAAAGGGGGTAAAAAAGCAAGAATAAGAGAAAAAGATGGTATAGATCACAAAAGATAGGGGGACTGGGCATCCCCAATATGAAGTTATTAGGGATAATCATATGGCTATAATCATATGGCTAATCAATTGAGACATATACTGGGTATTATATTACAATCTGACGAGTTAATATGGAAACATTAGAATCTTCTCAATTAGAAGGATCCTTGATAGGTTTTATTTTAAAATAAGGAAATAAGGTAGAAAATCCTTTCCTTAGGAATACATTACAGATTTGGAAGAGGCATAAGCAAAAATGTATGCCATCATTCTCACCATTATGTTCAATTACTGAATTAGAAGGGTTTCCATTAAACTAAAGGGAGAATTTAGAGGAAATTATTAAAGAATTTAAAAATAGTTAGATTAAAAGATTGGTTAGAGAAAATGAATAAAAATGATAAAAACAGTACTGGGAAAGGAGAATATAACTTGGTATAATGTGATTCAATTAGAGAATGGATAAGGAAAAGAGAAAGATGCAGGGATTACACAAAATTTGAAGATATGATTACAGAAATGAAAAAACAAGAGAATATGCAGATGAAAGAGATAGTAAGTAAAATTTATAAGATATTCTCAGAAGAACAGGATCAATATGATTCACTTAAAGCGGCATGGGAAACAGATTTAAGAAAAACATTAGTAATGAAAATTGGAAAAATATTTGAATGAAGAGGTTATTAAAGTGTCTGTCAGTAAGAATAAAGAAAAATTTCTACAAAATTGTATAGAAGTGGCAGTGACTCCAGTGAAATTGAATTGTATAGAGAATAAATACTCCAATTTATGTTGCAGATGTGGTCCTAAAGAAGGGACATAGGTCAATATGTAATGGGAATGTGAATACATAATGAAATTTTAGAAAGAGGTTTTTAAAGAGTACACTAAAATACTAAGTTTAAACAGAGACATATGCTCTAAGACCACAATACTTTCAAGATTTGATGATAAGAAATAAATAACAAATTTAGTAAGTGCAGCAAGACCAATTATAGCTAAGAATTGGAAAGTAAAATATGGTTACCAATTGTCTGACTACTATAGAGCAGTTTGGAATACAGCTATTAATTACAAATTAACATGTAATATTAAAGTGAGAAAAGGGCATATCAAATAAGTTTAATGAGATTTTGGGTATATGTATTACGTTTTAAAGAAAGGGAAAGGATTTGAGCTGTCAAAAGAATCATTACAGTTTTGGAAGTGGGGAATGTCCTGAAATGTTTGAAGGTTACATTTAAAAAAAAATGTGGCATGCATTCTTGGTCCTGGTGGTAGGGAGCACAGTAGTGTAGCAATTAGTTTTGTTTGAATTTTAAATATAGTATTATTTTGTTTGTATTTTACATTGGAAATTAATAGAAAATGTTTTTTAAAAGAGAAGTCAGTTCTCCCTCAGCACAAGAGGAACAGCTCTGATAGCAAAAGAAATGGGAGAAGCGCTGCACCATCCACCCTGAGGCAAGACCCACTGAACTCGATGAGGATCTTTCCAGAGGGAAGGACAGAGGGAGTATGAAGGACTGGCCGGTCAGCGGCACTGTCACAGAATAGTCAGGCGCTTGCAGGCCGCATCAGGGTGCCTGCTCACCTCTGAATTGAGAGGCCTGGGGAAACCCAGCACAGAGCGGAAGGAGATGCAGAGGCGAGACGCTCAAGGAGAAAAATCCTTTCACACAGGGATTTCAGTTTTTGTTTTGACTGTATGTCATACTGGAAACAATCAGCTGAGTGAGACTATAAAATGTGCTTTTTAGAATACCATTAGAATAGAAACATAGAAACGGAGCGAGTCGGAAGGGACCTCCGGCACCAGCCAGCTCCACTCACGACACGCCCCCCATGTGGACGTCCAGGAACGGGTAACCCTGTATGGCCAAAGTGCCTTAGTGCTTCTGTAGCACTACACCTCCCACTGTTTCTTCTTGGCAGCTCAGAGCAAAGGAACGCATCCCCAGCTGTTCCCACCTTCTTTCCCTGTGAACGCCTGTAGGTCACATGTAGAATGCAGAGGCATGCTCAGAAAGGGGAGGTGGCAGGTGGCTAGAGACCCGAGGCTCTCCTCTGCAAGGTGTCCATTTTGTGGCCGCGTCCAGGGAAGTGGCTCAAACGGCAAAGTGTGCCTGCGGACCCGAAGAGGTTGCCCCCTCCCAGAGCAAGTACCACAATGGGGTTATTTCCCTGCGAGGTAGTGCCTCTAAGCCACGGTTTACAATGCCTGCTTTGTTACCCACAAAAGGAGCCAACTTTCCAGCTGTATGGAATGGAAGCAGCTGCAGATGCTGGTTCACATACACAGTGGAAGCCAATGGTGATGACAACAGAAAGTAAGGACTGGGCAGGGGGATGGAACACTTCTCAAAAAGGCTTAAAATAAGCACCATTGTTAAGTCTGTTTGAGGAACCTTAAAGACTAATGGATTTATATGACAAGCAAATTAACAATGGCCACAAAAAACTGTGTCAGAATAAGTGCATTAGTCTTTAAGTGCCACAAAACTCTTGGTCACTTTTTTTCCTAAAAGGGGAGGGATGCTGTGAGTCCTGTGGAAGCCACCTTTTCTACTTTTGGGACTGCACATCAGATATTCATATGCCCAAACCTGAGATGAGCACTGACCTTCCACCCTCAGGGTTGACATCCGGTGAGCCCAGAGTCGATAACTTATGACACGCCACACAGGTTGGGCCTATCCACTAAGAAGAGACCAAGCATGGCCTGACGGGGGCAACAGTCACAGAAAAGGTTAAGGAGCTCAGAATCACCCCCCCCCCCACCATCAAAAATCTAAGGGGACACAAGTATCTCACCACGTGTTGCCCTCCTACTGTGTGAGCCGCAGGGTCACCCACTGCCAGGAAGAAGAGGCATTCAGTGTGCTCTCTGGTTAAATGATTCCTCCCGAGTTGGAGAGGGAGACTGTCGCCCCCAGCACCTTGTGGTAACCAGAAGCCCTCCTCCTTCTGCACCTCCATCACCCAGAGAAATCATGGCACTGGCCTCACATCTTGCCAATTTAATTTAGTCCAAGGATATTTAACTGCTCTTATCCTCTACCTCTTCCATTGGATAGAATAGGGCCGAGCCAAGCCACAGCTCGAGGAGAGCGCCGGGTCCGACCCCCTGCCCGATGCTGGTCTCAAGCCTCGCATCCACGTATCAGGCAGGCCTGACCCGGCTTAGCGTTCGATATTAGGCCGGATCAAGCACGGCCCCCAAGCTGAACTACAGGTTCGAGCAGGACCTGCCCCGGGCCCAGTAGGCTAGGGATGCACGTGCCCTCCCCGTCTGGCGCTCCCGAGCCCCTCCTGCCTTACAGCCGCGGCCGCCTCCCATCAGAAACTTTGCCGGGACGGCTAAATGAGTAACGACCCCCGGCGCCGCCCCTTACGACCGGCCCGGCGGAGGGCCCTGCTCCGGGAACGAGCCGGCGGCTCCTCCCGCCCCCAGGAGGCGGCGGCGGCGCGGGCTCGCAGCCCCGTCCTCCGCCCGCTAGACGGAGGGGCCGGCCCGCCCAGGGAGCGGGAGCCGAGCTGTCGCGCACCCGCCCGGCCGCCGCCGCCGCTCCTCGTCCCCACGCCCGGCCGCCGCCGCCGCCGCCGGGAGGCGACACTCACCCTCCGCCATCTTGGCCCGAACTGCGAAGAGACGTACCCGGCCGGCAAGGCGCGCAAGCCCCGCCCCGCCCCGCCCCGCCGCGCCGCGCCGCGCCATCGATTGTCTCGGCCCGCGACGCGGGGCGGGGCGGCGCCAGGCTGCGGAGTAGAGCGCCGAGAGCAGGCGGCTGATGCAACCGGGAGTGCTGCCGGTGAGCGCGGCGGTGGCGGCGGCCCCCCCTTCGGGCGCGCGCGGGCGCGGGCTTCGCTTCCAGCGCGGGCCGATCGCCCCCGCGGGGCCCCTCGGCCGGGCCCAGGCCGGCTCTTCCGAAGCCGCCGTGCCTCACGGCCTGGCCGCGGGCAGCCGAGCGCACCCTCCTCGCCCGCGGGCGCGTGGCCTGGGGCCCCGGCGCCGGATCCTCCCGAGCGCCCTCCTGCTCCCCGGCGCCGCCGCCCGCGCCGCTTCGCCTCGCGAGGTCTACGCGGGGCCATTCCAGGAGCCCCGGGGAAACAGCTGGGTCTCCTAGGCGAAGCGGGGCGGGCGCGTCCTGGTTCCTATAGCTTGCCAGATTTGGGTGGGCGTAGGCGACCCCCGCGTCACATAGGCTACAGGTGGGGATGCCGAGCCATCCCCCCTCTCGTCGAAAACGAGCCAGGAATACACGGAGGCTCTTGGCTCAACCATGAGGTGGTGCTTCGCGCGCCCTGCTGTGCACTGCAGCCATAAGATGCTGTCCTTCTGTTCTCCTTTTCTAATCCTCTCTCCCCCACTAAAGGAAAATCCGGCTACGGGTGGGAATGCCCTGGGAGGAAAGAGGAGGACAGCCTCTGCTGCTCCTGGATGCCACTGTCCACTCAGTACCTGCTTTTCCTTCAGCCACCTGCATTTTGTTCTCTTTCATTTTGTAGGAGCTCTTTGGCAAGGGAGAATCCGCTGGCACCATGGGGCATCAACTGACAGCAGAGGAGAAATACCACCTGATCACCCGGAATTTGCAGGTACGTTGACTGGAATGGCTGAATAATAGGCGGAAATGGGTGTGTGCAGAATCAGCTGCTTGTACCATTCTCCTTGCTAAAATAAGGTTTGCCCCTGCAAGTTTAAGCTGGAAATGAGAGATGGCAGTCCAAGATTGACAGACAAATAGTCAAGGAATACCTAGGTGGAATAAACACTTTCAAATCTCCAGGGCCTGATGAATTCCATCCCAGAGTCATAAAAGAGCTAGCAGAGGAACTCTCAGAACCTCTAGGAATCTTGGAAAACGGGAGAAATGCCAGACAACTGGAGAAGGGCTATTGTTGTCTCTGTCTTCAAAAATGGGGGAAAAGATGAATCGGAACTATAGCTCAGTTACATCAATCCCTGGAAAAATTCTGGAGCAAATTATTTTAAAAATTCTTCTCCAAGCATCTTGAAGAAAATTCAGTGATTAATAGAAGCCAGCATGGATTTATCAAAAATAAATCCTGTTAGACTAATTTAATCTCATTTTTTGACTGGGTAGCTTCCCAAATGGACAGAGGAAGCACCCTGGACATAATCTACCTAGACTTTAGCAAAGTTTTTGACAAAGTGCCACACAACATTCTGATAAGCAAATTAGCAAAAACTGCACTAGATGGAAAAACTATTAGGTGGATCCAAAATTGACTGCTAAATCTATCACAAAGAGTGCTCATCAATGGCACCTTCTCAAATTGGATAGAGGCAGCTAGTGGGGTGCCGCAGGGTCCAGTCCTGGTCCGAGTGCTCTTCAACATCTTTATTAATGATTTAGATGAAAAAGTACAAGGAAAGATAATCAGATTTGCAGTTGGTACAAAACTGGGTGGAATAGCAAACAGCCTAGAAGACAGAATGAAGATCCAGGGTGATCTTGATCAACTTGAACACTGAGCTGAAACCAACAGAATGAAATTCAATAAGGACAAGGGCCAAGTCCTCCACCTAGGAAAAAGAAACCAAAGGCATCGATACAAGATGGGGAATATGTGGCTTAACTGAACAAGAAAAAGGTCTTGGAGTAATTGTGGGCAATAGGCTAAACATGAGCCAACAAGCGATGCAGCTGCCAAAAGGGCAAATGCTACTTTGGGATGCGTTAACAGAAATATTCCTTCCAAATCATGAGAAGTAGTAGTTCCCCTATACTCCTCACTTGTCAAACCTCACCTGGAATATTGTGTCCAGTTCTGGGCACCAAGATTTAAGAAAGATGCAGAAAAATTAGAAAAGGGCAGAGGGTGACAAAAATGATCCAGGATCTGGAAACACTGCCCTATGAGGAGAGACTTGAGGGAACTGGGCATGTTCAGCCTTGAGAAGAGAAGACTGAGGGGGGACATGATATCCCTCTATTGGTACCTCAAAGGCTGTCACAAAGAGGAAGGTCAAGATCTCTGCTGACAACAGAGTGCAGGACTCAGAATAATCAAGTCAAGCTGCAACAACCCAGATTCAGGCTGGACATCAGGAAAAGCTTCCTCACAGTCAGAGCAATGTGACAGTGGAACCAGCTGCCAAGAGAGGTGGTGGGCGCTCCCTCACTGGAGACATTCCAAAAGGACCTGGACAGCCCTCTGAGTGGGATGGTGTGACTTGGTGTCCTGCAAGCGCAGGGGGGTGGACTCAATGGCCTTCGTGGCCCCTTCCAACTCTTCTGTACTCTGATTCTAAGCTTTTGAGTCACATGGGATTCTGTCTCTCACTGGCTGTCATCCAGATACATCCATAAACTTCCCAGTACTCAAAACAGAGAGATCCTTCTTGTTGATACATTGAAACATTTGAACCACTGATCTTGGGCGTGTTCTGATTGGGAGAGGTGCCCAGAACATTGACTCGTGCAAGGATGCACAGGCACTCTCCCTCGAAAGCAGTACCTCTGCCACCAGAGCGACCGCATGACCCAGGCACACCGAGGCTGGTGATGGAAGGGACAAGGCTGGCGCAGTATGGAAGGGCTTCCTCTATTGGTCAGTCTCAGGCTTGGGGTGGGGGCTAATTATTTATTTCTCATGGGTGGAGAATTGCTGGTTTCATGTTTTACTCACCCATCTGCTCCATTTTTCACTGACACCAACTTCTCGGTCCTTACCTCCTTTTCTGGAGAGGTGCTGAACTTGTTTCTCTCACCTGCAGGAAGTTCTTGGAGAAGATAAACTGAAGGCCATCTTGCAAGAGCGTGAGCTGAAGATCTACTGGGGAACGGCCACGACGGGCAAGCCTCACATAGCCTACTTTGTGCCCATGTCCAAGATAGCGGACTTCCTCAAGGCTGGCTGCGAGGTACGCAGGGCCTGTCTCCTTTCTGCTTCCCCGACTGCAGAGGAGTGTCAGCACGGCCTTCCTCCCAGGCAGGAGGGGCAGTGGGGCCTCGGGGACCTCTGAGGAGGGAGGCAGCACCTTCCCTGCACTTTAGGCACCAACCTCTTGCAACTCCATATTCACCCTAGAGGCCTGCTGACAGAGTTGGCTGCCCGGTCTCAGAAAGGGGGTGCTAGCGTGCTCCCTGCTTTCCTGCTGCACTTCAGTGTGGCTACCCGCCTGGGAGGTGGGGCGGAGGGCAGTTTGGGGCCTTGTGGGTATATGGGAGGGGTCTGGTATCAGGTGACCAGCTTGTCTGCTGCAGCTTTGACCAGTAGACAAAACACCAGTCAAGCAAAGGCTCAGTTATCTCCTGAAATAAGGGGAGGGGAATTTCGGGAGTAAGGCCAAACTAGGCAGTAATCCTAAGCAGGTTTTCTTGGGAATACGGGCTCCCCAGGGCCTAACTCCAAATAAGTGTGGTCTGTAGTCAGAGTGTCCCTCTGCCTGCCTCCTCCCCGACTGGCTAGCTCTTTGTGCAGCCTAGCTGTCACCTGGGGGTGGGGGGGTTAGCCGAAGCCAGGCACGGGGGTGGCTCCCACTGCCCTTGCCTTTCTCTCTCAGGTCACAATCCTGTTTGCTGACCTCCACGCATACCTGGACAACATGAAGGCCCCCTGGGAGCTCCTGGGGCTGCGCACCCAGTACTATGAGCACGTCATCAAGGCAATGCTGGAAAGCATTGGGGTGCCCCTGGAGAAACTGCACTTCATCCGTGGGACTGACTATCAGCTGAGCAAGTGAGCCTGTTCGGGGGGGTGGCAGAGCCGCTTGGGCTCCGCAGCTGCTTCCCGAGTCCCCGTGGAGGGACCCCCGCCTGCCCTAGCGCTTCATCTGAGCCGGCCGTGGGCTTGGAGGGGGGCCTGCCGTGCTCTGCAGAATGCTGGCTTGGTGCTGCGGCTCAGGAGAAACCACGGCTGCCCGTTGCGCCTTGCCTGCAGGAGCTGCTCTGGAGAGGCCCCGTTGCCTAGCCTGCCAGCAGCAGAGGCTCGTTGGGTGGGACCCGCTGCGTCTGCGTGGGGGGGGGGTGCTGCACGCGGGGCCTCCACAAGCAGTGCGTGGCTGCTCCTCGGTGAGGGCAGTGTGCGTGTGCCCACATGGAGTGCACGGGAGCTGCCGGAGAGGCAGCAGGGTGGCCCACGGGGCGGCCAGTCGCTGGGGCAGGCTCGGATGTGCATCTGGGGGGCCCGTGGCCCACAAACGCCCTCGACCGTTTGTCGCGCCCCAGTGCAGTGATGACCCCTCCTCTCCCCTAGGGAATACACGCTCGACGTTTACCGGTTGTCCTCCGTCGTCACGCAGCATGACGCCAAGAAAGCCGGTGCAGAGGTGGTTAAGCAAGTGGAGCACCCTTTGCTCAGCGGCCTCCTCTATCCCGGACTGCAGGTCTCTGTCGCCAGCTTCCCCTCCGTTGAGGGTGTGCGCGCGATTACTGATTCTCAGCATGGGCATCCCACCTAGAACATACAGAACCATGCGCATGTGGTTTGTGCATACACATCTTTTCTGCTTTTAAAACACGGGGCAAGAGGGACACCCTCACCTGGCTGTGTGTTTACTGTAAGTTTGTGGTGCCCTGTCATTTTTGGGGCAGTCCCGCCTTGTGTGACTGGGTGTCCATGGGGCGGAGCTGAGCTATGAGCCTGTTTCTCAGCCAACCGGTTTTGTGCTGCTGACATCCTGATACTGGGTCACCATGTTCCACAGGATTTTCAAACGTTCCTGAGACTGCCTTAGTACCACGTCTAAGAGAGTCCTTGGCATTTGCATTCAGCCTTGAGTCTTTGGGATAATGGCTGAATGAAAATCCAAGATAAGAAATACCTGGGGTCGCAGGTAAGCAATTGCTCTGTTAAAATCAGTGTGTCTGTAGGGAGTCTTTCTGCACCTGTAGGCGCTGGATGAGGAGTACCTGAAAGTCGATGCTCAGTTTGGAGGAGTGGATCAGAGGAAGATTTTCACGTTTGCAGAAAAGGTGAGCGTGGAGGTTTGTTTGGCCCTTTGGACAGTTGTGCCATCAGCTCTGAAGGCCTTGAGGGAGGTCAGTCTGCGCCTCCTTTACCCTTGGCTTGTTCAAGGCATTTTGGTGTCCAAGGCAGAGAGTCCAGACAGAACCCTCCTCCCTGTGCACCACCTGGGCGTCCCTGAGCCGAGCACCAACGGCTGTGCAACCGCACGGTGGGAGGGCTGGGCAGGGGAGGGACCATGGCCAGGCCGTGCATTCCCCCACTATCTTCAGCCCTCGACTTGTTTAGAAAGAACCCCTTTCCCTCTTTCTCCATCCTTCGCCCCACGGAATCTGCGTCTGTGCCTCGAGTCCCTGGTTCTTGCCGCTGCTGCACTGTGTGTGGCTCATGTACATCTCTCTGCAGTACCTGCCGTCCCTGGGCTATGCCAAGCGCATCCACCTGATGAACCCCATGGTGCCAGGACTGACGGGCAGCAAGATGAGCTCTTCGGAAGAGGTCAGTTCCTGAACTTGACCCTTGGAATAATCAATATTTTGTGGGCACGGGAAGAAACATTCTGTCCTTTTTGGGTGGTGCGTGGGTGACTCACTGTTGTAGAAGAGGCAGTCCTTTCTCTCTGTTACATAGAAGGGAATCCATTTTTGTGCTCTGCTATCCACAATTGTTGCAAGTATGTGTGAGACAGTTTCAACGAAGATCTGTGGGCCAGTGAATCAGGAATTTGAAAGGTTTACACAGTGCTGCCCAGCTGGCTGTGCACACTTCTGCTCCTGAGCCCTTCCTTCCCTGCAGCCGCTCCTTCTCCCATTGACAGTCAGGCTGGCCACAGAACCTCTTGGCCGCCTGTGCATGGAACGTACTTGCGGCAGCGCCCCTGCCCCTCTCTTTCAGGACTCCAAGATTGATCTCCTCGATCGTAAGGAGGATGTGAAGAAGAAGCTCAAGAAGGCTTTTTGTGAGCCAGGAAATGTGGAGAACAACGGCGTTCTGGCCTTCATCAAGCACGTGCTCTTCCCGCTCAGATCGGGTAATGTGAGGGGTGGGCAGGCATGGGCTGGGATCCTGCTGGTGGGACAGAGGCATTGCTGGCACCATGATGGCCCAGCCTGAGGGGAGGGGTGCCTGGGGAGCAGCCCCTTCGCCTTCCTCCTCGCCCCTCTTCCGCCCACTTCTTGTCACAGCCGAGACAGAAGCCCAAGAATCCAGCCCCTTTCCTGCTGCAGTGCTGAGCACCCGCCCAGGCCGGCACCGCCTTCTTGCCCCTGGGAGGGCATCAGTGCACGGCTGCCTGCCTGGCCAGTCACCTGTGGGCCAGGGTCACCCTCGTCCGAAAGAGAAGGCACGTGCTGCCTGCCTGGCAGGAGAGCCAGCCCAGCAGCGTCAGAGTGGCAGGTGGCGTCTCTACCTGAGGAGCTCTAGCAGAGCGGCAGGCCGACGCGCTCCACGCTGATGCCAAGCTCGCGAGCATCCTCTTGCCTGCCGAGGGCCGGGGGGGGGGGCGGTCTGGCCCTCCCTCGAATGCTGTCCTGTATCCCTGGGTGAGGAGCGGGCTAAAGTCAAAGCTGAGGGGCCGAGGAGCATGACCCAAGGGGCCCACGCCGGCCGCTTGGGTGTGCATAGCTCATGCTCCTGGGGAGCCTGACTGCTCTCCTTCCCCTTGCAGAGTTTGTGATCCTCCGAGATGAGAAGTGGGGAGGGAACAAAACCTACACAAACTACTGGGACCTGGAGAAGGACTTTGCTGAGCAGGTGCGCCGTTGAGTCTGGGGATAAAAGGCGGGGGTCCCTTTCCTTTACGCTTGTGCAGGGAGTGGCCCAGCCTGCCAGGCAGGCTGTGAAATGGGGGGTGGGAGGAAGGCAGCTTACCTGTCTGCTGGTGGATCCCAACAGTCCATGAGGGGGAGTTGAGTCACAGTGGGGGGACTCCGGCCTGACATGGAACCGTGCAGGCCAACTCAACCATCATAATGCAGACCTCGGGCCTTCCCAGGCTTTCCACGGGTTTTATGTACAAACACCGATTCTCATTGCTCTCTCTAAGAGAGAGGCCTGTTGGCCACCATGTGCAGCCCAGGAATGTCCTCCTAGTAAAGGCCTGTTGACCTGAAAGGTCTTCAGCCAATCCTTTTCTCCGATTTGGTTGTGCACAACAGAATTGCCAGGTGGGCGATGCCCTTTGCCGGGAATCAGGGTTGGGGCCCAGGAGAGGCCACTGGGAGCACACAAGGCAGCAAGGGATCCTGGGCACACACGGGGACAGCAGAGAGAGGCCAACCCATTCTCCACCTTCCTTTTGCATGGCAGACTGTCCATCCGGGAGACCTGAAGAACTCCGTGGAGGTGGCCTTAAACAAGCTGCTGGATCCCATCAGGGAGAAGTTCAGCAGTTCGGAAATGAAGAAGCTCACTGGTAGCGCCTACCCGGATCCGTCCAAAGCAAGTGAGGGCTGAAGGAGCTCGCAGGAAGCCCTCCCCAAGTCACTAGTATTCCACCCTTTCTGCTTTCCCCCCTTTGGGTAGGGAAGCCACGTGGGCCAAAACACTGTCCCAAGATCCTCCTGGCCCCGTCAGAGGAGGGGGCTGACTGGCTTGCTTCGCTGTGTGCAACGCAGGTGGGGCCTGTCGGGAGCCTCCACGTGGCGCCTGGCCTGACCACGTGGAGGCTCCCGACAGGACTGACATGGCCGAGCTGACCTGCACCTTTGCGCTGCAGCCTTGCAGAAGCAAGATCTGGGCCTCATCGGGCTCTCTTAACCTGGAAGGAAATGAGGAGAAGCGGCGCCAATAACAGCAGATTCGCTTTCATCGTTTTCTTCTTGCTGTTACCAGGTGTTAAGGTTACCTGCAGTTGTTCCAGCAGGAGAATTTCCTTGGTTCCTTGAATGCTTTGCTCACTTTAACTCCCCATTCCTTACCAAGCCGAGAAGGCTTCTCTGTCCTTTCTCTCCTTTTCCCATTGTTTTTATCTACTGCAGTCTTCTCTGCCCCGCCCCGCCCCGCCCCAGCGCCTTTTTCTCTTTCATCTCCTGTTTTAAATTGCTGATTCTCCACACTTCTGCTCAGGAGCCCCCACTCTCTTGTCCGCCCGCATTGCCCCGTGAGGCCAGTGCAGCAAGAGGGCGGCGCCCTGGGTGTTCTTGGGGCTTCTTGCCATCATATCCGTGGAGCTGATGCCTTCCTTCCCTTTTCTGCCGCACGTGCAGAGCCCGCTGCGAAAGGCCCTGCAAAGAATTCTGACCCTGAGGAGGCGGTGCCTTCCCGAGTGGACCTCCGTGTGGGCAAGGTGCTCTCTGTGGAGAAGGTATGGTTGAGGGCCCTGCTGCCCTTGCGCGTGTGCAGAGCATTGCCTCACCGTGGGTCAAGGCTGCAGAGAGCAGTTCCCCAGCTGCCGGCGGCCCACGGCCCCACAGGGTCGGGTCCGGGTTCCCTGACAGCGCCCTGCTCCCGTCCGCAGCACCCTGACGCCGACACCCTGTACGTGGAGAAGATCGATGTGGGGGAGCCTGAACCACGGACGGTGGTCAGTGGCCTGGTGGCGTTTGTACCCGAGGAGCAGCTGCAGGACAGGCTGGTGGTGGTGCTGTGCAACCTGAAGCCTCAGAAGATGAGGGGGGTGGCGTCCCAGGCCATGCTGCTCTGTGCGTCCAGGTGCGCCAAGGAGGGGCGGGGGCGGGCGGGCGCCGGAGCTCTCCTCCGCTGCGGGGGGCAGCGCAGAGGGCAATGGGCAGCAGCTGCGTGCCGGGCTGCCTGCCCCCTTGGGTCCTCACCCAAGGAGGCTGCTGCAGGTGGGCGTGTTCTCGCCTTCGCAGCAACGGAGAGCTGTGCCGCATCGAACCCCTGGACCCCCCAGCAGGCTGCTGTCCAGGGGAGCGTGTGTTTGTGGAAGGCTACGAGAGCGGCCAGCCTGACGAGGAGCTGAAACCCAAGAAAAGGGTCTTTGAGAAGCTGCAGGTGAGCGGGGAGGTGCTTGCCGGTGGCCGATGCTCGCGGAAGCAGGTTGTGCCTGCTGGGGTCGCAACTCACGCCCCGCCATGCCACGCCGCCCCTTGCCCGGGCCACGTTCTGTAATCCTGAGTGGCTGGGGGAGGGGCTGTTTCTGCTGCTGGGCCGCTTGGAGGCTCCGTGTTGCACGCCTCTGGCACGAACGATGCTGATGTGACAGACGAGGCTGCTTCCACCTCCAACTGGTGCAAGGCCTGGGAGTCCCTCCTCCCCACTTTGAGATTCTTTCCTCACTTTTTGGGAAAGGGTTGGGGCACTACTAAGGGGTGAAGAAAATTGCATGAGCACACTTTCCTCGATACTGGGGTTGAGGTAAAGCTAGTCCCAAGTGCGAGACGATGACTGAAGCACTTGGAATGGTAGGCAACTCATCAGGGAGTGGCTTGCAGAAGCACTTGGAGTGGGAAAGTATTGCTAATATTTCCTATGGGAATGTTGTTCCGTTTATCCAGTCTTTGCCAAGGATTACTCGGGGGAGGGGGCGGCTCCCTCCATGTCCATTCAGAGCCTGGCTTCCTATGCCACCGTTTAACAGAGGCACTCCTGGCAGCTGCATTTAGCAAGGCGGTTGGTTGCTCTACCCATTTATTGCTGGCACGAGGGACAGGGAGCGTGTGCCCCTCCAAAGTTAGAGCTGCAGCCTGCATCTTCCTTCCCCACTAGGCATGCGGGCCAGGACTGATGGGAGTCGCGGTCCGAATGGTCCCTGCTTCTGGGATGCACCGATTAGGAGAGGGTCTCTGGGGGTGGGAGATTGTGTCTCCCTAGAAGTGCCTACATACCTAGAAGTTCCCAGGGCCAAAGCTGTGATCTTTTGTGTTCAAAGCGGGAGCGTTCCCACCAGGCGAAGGTCCTTCCATATGCCTGGACCGCGGAATAGTTGTCCTTGGCCACATCCTTGGCTGTGACTTGTCCTCTCTTTCCTCTCCCCAGGCAGACTTCAGGATTTCAGAGGATCTCGTGGCCCAGTGGAAGGGGAGGAACTTCATGACCAAACTGGGGGCCGTCACATGCAAAAGTCTGAAAGGCGGCAGCATCCACTAACCCCTCCCCTCCTGCACTTCATGCCAGTGCCTGCCTGCTGGTTGTACTTTGCACTTCCCTTGTTCTCCCAGGCCAGAGATCTCAGCATAGCCTCTTCCAACCCATGAAAGAACGAACAGATGTGGCTTCTGGGCTTGGATGTGGACGAAACGAGACAGGGTACCTAGAAGCATCTGCCAGGGCGAGAGGCCCTTCTTTCTCCAACGGTCGTGTCGTTTGTGTCGATACGGTGAGGAAAGGAACCGTTGACGACGGTTTACTGACTGCCACACCTGGTGGAACCCTTTTCACGTGTGTTGGGGGCAAGGCAGTGCCGCGGAGGCATCGGCCCATGTGGAGTGCGTGTGCACTCAGCTGACGGCAGGTCCTGCACTTTACCATTTGATGCTTTGCCAAGCTTGAGTCCAGGCTGGTGAACGCTGGCAGGAGAGGATCTGCCAGGTTAGCAATCTGTCATTGTCAACACTGATTTCTGGATTTGTCATCCATCCAAATAAAATGCTCCTCATTGTGGTCTCAGCTGTGTGTCCTGGAGGGAGGGATTTGCTCTGGCCAGCAGGTGCGAGGAGGAGCAGGTTTCTTTCCGCTTTGGAAAACGATCACAGAAGGGGAAGAATGCCATGTGGTTTGGTTGGAGCAGTATCTCTGGCACTTTACACACCAGGCAATTTAGCTTGGTACACGTTTTTGTGGACCTTCTCTGCCTCATCAGACACAGAACTGGCAGATGTTAAAAGCCAGGCCAAGGGTCATGAAAAGCGAATTGTCTCTGTATGTGAAATGGCCAGCCAGGGTGATTCATTGCATGGCCATCCATTTACTGTTCCTCCGCTTTTTCCCTATGCATGTTTATCTGCCTGCCGAGAACTCTATAAGCATCTCGCTCACCAACGACCCATGATAATGGCATGATTAAATGTTAGGCTGCTAAGACAGCCTGCATTATAGGTGCACCCTTAAGTCAATGGGAACACGTCACTCAGCTCTCTGTAACGTCACAGCCCTTTGTATGGCCATCCTGCGTGCGCACGCGCGCGCATGCGCGCGCGCGCTCTCTCTCTCTCTGTGTGTGTGTGTGTGTGAGAGAGAGAGAGAGAGAGAGAGAGAGAGAGAGAGAGAAGCCCCCTCTGCAGGCCTTGAGGAGGGTCCCTGCTCCTTCAGAATGGCTCACCTGCACAAGCTATATGCATATACCGGGCAGAGTCCGTTCTTCCCCTTGGTATACACCTGAATTGCGGGTGATGAAGTGGGTTGGGAGACAACTAGAGCATAGGTGGAGGAAATCACGGGATGAATCTGACCGAACACACTTGAGAGCCCACTATCGGGCCTATGCTGTGGCGGTGAAGGTGGCGAAAAAGAAGTTTTTTTCCACTTCCATTGCCTCCTCACAGTGCCGTCCAGCGGAGCTTTTTCGAGTGGTACAAGGCCTGGTTCGCCCGGGTCCTAAGGAAGATCTGATGCCACCCTCAAAGGCCCGCTGTGACGACTTTGCTAGGCATTTCAGGGAGAAAATCGCTCAGATTCGTCATGAGCTGGACTCCACTAATGAATCAGAGGTCTCTGGGGAGACGCCAATGCTACCGTCTGGTCCAAAATTATTGGAGGAATTTCAATTATTGCGGCCCGATGATGTGGACAAGGTGCTTGGACGAGTACATCCCACCACTTGCCTATTGGATCCTTGCCCGTCTTGGTTAATAAATAACTCCAAGCACGGGATTGGGACCTGGATCTTGGAAGTGGTTAACGCTTCTCTGAGGGAGGGTCGAGTACCTGCCCCTTTAAAGGAGGCGGTAATACGACCGGTCCTGAAGAAAGTGTCACTGGATCCAGAGATGGCCGCTAACTACAGACCTGTGGCCAACATCCCGTTTCTGGGCAAGGTGTTGGAGCGAGTGGTGGCGGGACAACTCCAAGCACTCTTGGATGAAACTGATTATCTGGATCCTTTTCAGTCTGGCTTCAGACCCGGGTACAGTACTGAATCTGCCTTGGTCGCCCTGTACGATGACCTGTGCAGGGAGAAGGACAGGGGGAGTGCATCCCTGTTGGTTCTTCTGGACCTCTCGGCGGCTTTCGATACCATCGACCATGGTATCCTTCTGGATAGGCTAGCGGGATTGGGGGTTGGAGGCACTGCTTTGCAGTGGTTCCGCTCCTATCTCAACGGTCGATTCCAGAAGGTAGTGCTGGGGGACTGTGTCTCTGCACCATGGCAGCTATGCCATGGAGTACCGCAGGGGTCCATTCTATCCCCTCTGCTATTTAACATCTACATGAAACCGCTGGGAGAGGTCATCAGGAGGTGTGGGCTGCGGAATCATCAATATGCTGATGATACCCAGCTCTACCTCTCGTTTTCCACCAGTCCAGGTGAGGCAGTGGCAGTGCTGAACCGGTGCCTGGCTGAGGGAATGGATGAGGGCCAATAAACTGAAACTCAACCCAGACAAGACGGAGGTCCTGTTGGTTGGCAGATCAGGCGTCGGAGAGGGTGGATTTGACCTGGTCCTGAATGGTGCAACACTCCCTCTTAGGGATAAGGTCCGCAGCTTAGGAGTACTCCTCGACCCGGAGCTTTCTTTGGAAGCTCAGGTGACAGCGGTGGCAAGGAGCGCCTTCCTTCAGCTTCGGCTGATTAATCAGCTGTGCCCCTACCTGGAGTACGACTGCCTGGCGACGGTGACACACGCGCTGGTGACTTCCCGCCTAGACTTCTGTAACGCGCTTTACGTGGGGCTTCCCCTGAAGACGGTCCGAACACTTCAATTGGTGCAAAATAGAGCTGCCAGGTTGCTGACGGGGACGGGGCGTTATGCTCACATGACTCCAGTCCTCCGTCAGCTTCACTGGCTTCCCATTGAAGCCCGGGCCCAATTCAAGGTATTATGACCTATAAAGCCCTAAACGGCTTAGGTCCTGGCTACCTGAACGAGCACTTACGTCCATATATGCCCGACCGCCCTTTGAGATCTGCGGGAGAGTCCCTTCTCCGGGAACCCTCCATGAAAGAAATTAGGAGAGTAAGTACTTGGAGGAGGGCTTTCTCTGTGGTGGCGCCCAATCTATGGAATGTGCTCCCCAAAGAGGTCCGCCTGGCACCGTCGTTACTGGTTTTTCGGCGCCAGGTAAAGACCTTTTTATTTAAACATCATTTTAATTGTTAAAACATATGATCTGGCCAGGGCAACTTCTTCTTCCTTCTCTTTTCTCCTCCTATATTATTTACTTATTTTATACTGATAATTTTAATCTTATATTATTGTTTGTAACTCAGTGTATTTTTTGTATTTTTGTATTTAATGGTAATTTATTATGTTCTATTGTATTTCAATGTATTTTATTGTGTTGTAAGCCGCCCCGAGGCTTTGGCAAGGGGTGGCATAGAAATGTTGTTAGCTGGAAGAAGGGCAAATACAATTTTGGGATGCATTAATGGAAATTTTATTTCTGAATCATGAGTAATAGTAGTTTCCCTATACTCCTCACTAGTCAGACCCCATCTGGAATAATGTGTCCAGCTCTGGGCACCTAGATTTAAGAAAGATACAGAAAAATTAGAAAGGGTCCAGGGGAGGGCAACAAGCTTGATCCAGTGTTTTGAAAAATTGCCCTGAGGGACTGAGCGAACTGGGCATGCTCAGCCTTGAGAAGGGAAGACTGAGGGGGGACATGATATCCCTCTATTAGTACCTCAAAGGCTGTCACAAAGAGGAAGGTCGAGATCTCTGCTGACAACAGAGTGCAGGACTCAGAATAATCAAGTCAAGATGCAACAACCCAGATTCAGGCTAGACATCAGGAAAAGTGGGGCAATACGACAGTGCAGTGGGACCAGCTGCCTGGGGAGGTGGGGGGCTCTCCCACACTGGAGGCATTCAAAAAGAAACTGGGGAGCCCTCTGAGTGGGGTGGTGCGGCGTGCTGTCCTGCAACAGCAGGGGGTGGGATTGATGGCCTTCATAACCCCTTCCAACTCTGCTCTTCTTTGATCCTACTGATGTGATGGGTGCACATGTTCAAGAAAATGGGGGGCAGGCGTGTTCTTTCCAGAAAGGCCAACTAAGCAACGAGTGGGGAGGGGGAGGGCTGCTTGAGAGGATGCAGTTGTTGCCCGATACCTGAAATTGGCAAGTAGAAATGAGGAAGAATTTACCCAAGCTTGTCCATTTCTTACTTTCTATAATTAAACAAGGACCCACATGGAATCTGTGACTGGGAATCCCCTCTTATGTACTTCTGATCAGGGTGCACTTTCAGAAACTGCTTGAACAGGTGCATTTGAGAAAGGCAGATACTGGCATGAGGGAAAGAGGGATGCCATCAGGCAGGAATACACCCAAAGTGCAGACGAAATGACGCTCTTCCCAACTCCAGTATAAAAACATAACTGAGCCACTGAGATGGAAGAATGCTGGAACACTGGTCTTGCTAATTCACATACACAACTGGTATGGGTTTTGGAACTGTGCTTCCTGAAACTGCTCTAACGAGCCTCGTGTTTCCTCGCCCCTTCCTTCCTTCTCCCATTACATGCACAACAAAGCCAAGAAATAAAAGAGTCAGCAAGCAAGCTTTAATCATTCAACTTTCCAAAGACACTTTCTTTAAAAATGGAGTTCAGCATCATTTTTACTCCCTTTTTCAAAGGCAGATTTCTTCTTTCTCTTCCTGTTTCACAATCATGGAAATCAAATCAAATGACCCCAGGACTTTAAAGTATATAAATCTGTCATCTAACATTTCTAGAGAGCAGGAAACAAAGGTGGTGGGGGAATGGGAGATGTTTGGTCTCATTTTTAAATGCTGCGCCCAAACCATGTTGTCCCCCGTTCCCTTTCCCTCCCTTCAAAGTGCTGTTTGCTCTCAGCCGGTGAGGAGTGGGGAGAGCTTCCCCTTGCAGGCTCGCCACCTTGGGCCTCCCCACACCTCTCTGGGGCAAATGAAGCCACTGCGTGTGCGCACACGCACCCCGCTTGAGTGGCAAGAGGAGAGGCTGGGCTGGACAGCGGCTGCAGCTGGGAAAGGGCCGCTGTGGGGCTTTGCAACACCAGGCACACACGGTCAGTGGAGCGGTACCAGAAGCGGAGGAGGGGTGGCTGGACAGTCCAGCCTGGCAGCAACTCAGGGGTCACCCTGGCAGGCCCACCTCTTCCTAGTCACCATCACAGGGTGCAGGTGGCCATACTGGGCCGGTGAGAGCAAATGCCGAGCACTACTTCTGGCATCCCAGGTACCAACACAAGCAGGCCACAGCAAAAAGGCTCACGTGTTAGCACACCCAGAACACGCTGCCTGCCACACGGGACTGCCCGGAGGCTGCCTGGTGGCGGTCCTCCGGCCTTCCCAGAGACGCCGGGACAGTCCACCTGAGAGCCAGGGCTGCTCCTCTGCTTGCTGAGGGTTTTCCACCTCCCCCTGCAGGAACGGCTGGCTGCCCCAGCAGCCATTCCTCTGTGTGGGGGCCGGGAATGGCTGACGAGCACTGCCGAGGACTGCGCACAGGCAGAGCCCGGTTCTCCAAACACGCAGCTACGGAGGAGCATTCCAACCTGGACCACAGGGTGGCCCCCTGGCATGCGGTGGCACCGCCTGGCACGCCCTCCGCGACACGGGGGCTTTCCTGGGCAGGGCCTCGCAGTGAGAATGGCACCACCCTCGGCCTTCCCGTCTGCTGCTCCAGGCTTCGCAGAGCCGGGAGAGAGGCAGCTCCGACGCTTGCTTTAGTGGCCAGGGCACCCGTGTAATTTGGCCCTGCAAGACTTTCTATTCCCTCGGGTTGAGCTGCAGGTACGAGTGGGAGGAAAAGCATTTCCCGGTATTTCAGGATGGCTTGATCTGAAGAAAAGGCTTGAACAGCAGCGGCCCAGTCTTGTACTCTCCCTGGGGACGAATTATGGGGCCTTCCTGCTGAGCACCCCTGCACCCCCAAATTCAGCATTTCAGCACTGTCTGCGTAGCAGTGTCAGGGCAAGGAAATTAATACACACACCCCAAAGCAGCGGTGCTGCTGCTGCGTTTGCAGCCATTTGCCTCCAGCCTCCTTTGGTCTGCGTGGCACATGGGCCATGCTGTCCGCCTGGCTTCCAGGCAGAGATCCCTCTCGGCTCCCCGAAGAGCTGGGATGGGCCACCAAGTTCTTCCAGCAGTCCTCTACTGTTCTCCCTCCCTTCGCTGCCCTCTTAACCCTTCCCAGAAGCGGCCAGGGAGCCACCGCAGAAAATGCAACTCCCACTACCAAAATCACACGGCATCCACCGGGTGGGGGCCTGGGAGGGAGCGGAGGGGGTGGGCTGCCAATGTTAGGCAGACTTAACAGTAGATTTATTATGTGAATTAAGTGAGACTTAACATTGGCCTCAACACAGAATGCTTGTGGATTGCAATTAGAAGAGCTCACTAAGTTACGGAGTCTGTCAGACTCAAGGCAACATCTCTGGGACTGGAATGTTCTGGTGCATGATGGACCGGCCCAATTTTGGCAGTGAGAAGCCAAGCCCACCGCCTGGAGAGCAGCACTTCCTACAGCGCTCGGCACCAGCTCCTCCTGGGTTGGGCAGCCCTGTTCTCTTCGGAAAGAGCCCCCTGCGAGCCATCTTTGCCGCACCACCCCCCGGCTGACCAAGGACACCCAAAACCTCAGGAGGACACTCCCGGGCACAGAGACAGAGGAGACTGGCGCAGCTCTGGGGCTCTCCACGCGGTGCGCCACCTCCCTCCCGTGCTGTGCCCCAATCCTTGCAACGTGCAACCGTGCCGGGTGCTGCCCCAGTGTGCGCCATAGGAGTCCTCCTCGCTCTGCCTGAACCCCAGAGAACCCCCTGGAGGAGCCTGCCTGTGCTGTGGCCCCCGCAGCACCTTTGTAGCAGTCCAAGGTGGAAGCAGGGACGAGCCAGGCTCCTGTGCCACTGGGGAAGGGCAGCTGCGGCTGTCCGGTGGCTGTTCCAGCCGGCTCCGGCTCCGGCGTCCGCTTCGACTTTGCACCAGGCCGGGCATGCACACGCTACTCGGTTCCCACTTACAACCAGCAGACAACACAACTGCGACGAGGGGGGCATCCTCTGAAGAGCACGCCAAGCAGATTCAGCTTTGTCTCGCTCTCCAGTAGGTGCCGTCGGGCAAGCCAGCGAGAGACGCCGCAGTCTCCTCTCTCACGCGCTCTCTCCAAGCCTTTCCTCCCGCACGAAATCTCCAACGGGAAACACAAACCACCTGCAAGCCAGCCAGGAAAGGCTGCTCAAGACGGCACCCCTCGAGGAAGGGAAAGGGGGAGGCGGCAGCAGAGAAGGGTGTTGTGCTACTTTGTCTTCAGATGTAAAATAAAGCTGTATTGTCAAAAAAAGTGAAGCCGACACAATTTTTGCATAAATATCAAGGCCATCAGAGGCTAAGGCGGTTTCTCTTCTCACCACGTCCAGGATCATCCTCTGGCCTGCGCAGGTCCCTGAGATATTTGTTTTAAAATTCCTGTGTCTGGGGCAACTGTACCGCAGGGTCTTCCTTCATGCTATCTCCTCCCGTAAGTCTGTAACAAGAAGGAGGGAATCAGTGCAGCTTTCTGGATCTGGTGTGAGCCGGGGTTCAAGTTTCACCCTAAGTCACTGGGGGGGGGGGGGCGAGGCCCTCAAGGCCCATCCCTCTGTCTTCAGAGGTTTCATTGGGTTTCAACCACCCTCATGGCGCAAAGCCATTCGGCCACTGTGCATTTATTCTTGGGTATAATATGGCTGATTTCCATTTGGGTATTGGGTTATTTGGGGTTTAGAGGCTGTTCAGGGGTTCAAGTGGCCACAAGAGGCACAACAGGTTGGTCCATCACTAGCAGAAACAGAAAATCCTATTCCCTTTCTGACTGGCTAAAAGTTTGAGTGGGGGATTGGAGCAGGCGGATGGGTGAAGCTGGCAGGCAGGAGACATTGAGAGCAAAGGAGCAAAAGGCAGCACGAGAAAGAATGGCAAGGACCAACCTCCCGGGAATCAAAGAAGCTGACCCAAAAGCAAGGCTGGAAGGCGCACCAGCAAGGACGGCGACAGTGGGCGAAACTGCTGGCATTACCAGGACTTGGGCTAACAGTGAGGTGGCGAGATGAAGTTTAGACGAGCCCACTTTTCCGTATTGTTTGCACAGCCTCCTTGCTCTTACAGGTAACTAATAAAACCGTTTTGAGATGGTTTTCCCCCTAGAAATATTCTAACCATTTCTGCACTGCACATCATTTGCAGTTTTCCCATGTAAAGCAACCCTACACTATTTGAATATTTGATGCAGCCACTTTTAGTCATGCGTAACTTTTTAATTCCATTTTGAATAGTACCCTGACCTCTGTAGATGCAAAGAGGTGCAAAAATAACCTTCCTATGTAAATAATTCCACCAGTCTGCAATACCTGCCAGGAGCCGCCTTGGGAGGGCAGAAATGCACACGGAGCGCTTGCAAAGGCAGGCAAGTGAAGGACAGGTGCTGCCTCCAGGCTTCTGCTGGCCTGCCTAGTCAGCGCCTGCCGGCTGGAAAGGTCGCCTCGCACACCTGGCTCCACAAGGGAGGCCCGTCCACCAGTCCCACGTGCGGGCTCTTTGCCGCTGCAGCAGCATCTCCGGGGTGGCCTTCAAGGAAGGACCTTCCAGCCTCCACCCGTCTTTGCAACATCACTACTTGGCTGCCCCTGCAAGGAGAGGGCAGCTCCCAACTCTGCTCATTTGTGGGGCAGAGGTTGCTAATTTTGCCGACTTTCTGTCTTCAGGTGACCTTTCATTTTCTGTTCCATTAGTTTACTCAGTTATTGCCATTTCAACTGCTTTTCATTATCACAATGAAATGCTTTAATTATTTCATACAGGATCATGTTATATTAATATTGACCATAAAGTGACATTGTTAAAAATTAAAAAGTGGTTTTAAAAACCACTGGGGGGACGGGACACTCAGGTCCTCTGAAAAGCCCTTGAGCGGCACCAGACAGGGCTGAATCACGCCCTGTGCCCGGCTTCACACAGGCGGCCCTCTGCCAAAGACCAAACAGGGCATGCTGCCCCTGACTTGCCCGTTCTTTGCCCAGAATAACCGGCCCTCTGCACTGGAGATCCCTTGTGGGCACCAAGCTGGGCAAGAAAAGGGCTGCCGAGGCACTGGGAGGCCGTGGGCCAAGGCACTGCTCTGGGCCAGCGGAGCCCCCTGAACTGCCAAAGCAGGGTGTGTTGCCACTGCCCAGAGGGGATGCCCCGCTTCCCACACCCCTTAGCTCCTTACCTGGTGCTGGGGGGCTCTGCAGAGGTATTTCCGGCCCTGCTGGGAGGCTGTCACTGTTCGCCCTCCCGCCAGAAGCCTGGTTGCCAGGCCCCTCCTTCCTAGTCCTCGCCCCAAACGCAGGCAGGAGGGAGCCCCGCTGCTCGGCTCCGGGTGGTCCTGGGCTCCAGGGCAACTGCGGGTGGCTTGGTCCAAGGGAAGGCTTCTTGGCTATGGGAGGGGGGACCTTCTGGGGCTTCTGGGCCTGCCCCGAGGCAGCCAGCGAGTGCTGGCTGGAGACGGTCATCAATTCAGCAACCAGGTTCTTCTTCAGGCTGGCCTGGGCTTCCGGAGAGGACGCGGTCTCGATGACCAGCTTCTTCGAGCTCTTTGCGAAGATGAAGCTGGCTGTAGAAGCTGGGGATTTGTGCAGGGGAGACACCTGGCCGTCCCTGGGCTCGCCGGCAGGAGGGGCTGCCACTGTGGAGAGGGCAGGCTGGTGGCTGGCCCTCCTCTCAGCCATTCCGAGGCTGGGCGCTTCCCGGGAAGACAAGGCGGAGGCCTTTAGGCGCACGGCCTCACACAGGGCGTTCGTGGAGGTGGCCTCTTTCGATGCAGACGGGGGCACCCGCAAGGAGAGCGACTTGCGGACTGGCTTCTGGGGAGCCAGCTGCCCCGGCCTGCCTCCGCCGCCCGAGCCGGGCCCGTTCTGCTCTGCTGGAGACGTGGCTGCGCCGGCACTCGCCACGGGCCCGTGGGCATCCACGCTGACCGAGCGCAGCCGCACCATCTGCAGCAGGGAAGGCGTGACAATGGGCAGGCTGGCGTCCTCCTTTGGCACGCAGCCACTCTTGCTGCGAGTGGCCGGCTCCTTTCTGAGGTCAGGGTGAGGGTCCCCGGCGGGCTTCTTGAGGCTTGGCTGGGCCTGGGCGCTGCAGGGTGGGGGGGCTGCCGGCACAGGTGTCGCAGGCTTCCTGGGGCTCGGCTGTGAGCTGGAGGGGTCTCCTGCCACAGGGAGCTTGGGGGGGGCAGGTGGCTCAGCCTCTGGAGCTGGCAGTGGCGGGGCGTCCGGGGCTCCCTGCCGCTCAGTCTTCGAGGGCACCGTCGCAGAGAAGGCAGACGAGGCGACGGGTGTGGCACTCCCTGCGGGGGGCGCTGCTCCCCGGCTGGCCAGCTGCTCCCCGGCTAGGGCGGCCCCTGCGGCTTCCACAGAGGGTGTTTCCACAGCCGCCGACTGCACCCCCGGCGGGGCCAGCGAGAAGTAGGCCTCGTCCGGGGGAGGAAAGTCGGCCATGGAGAGGTCATGCTCGTCCGGAACAGGTGGGGGCGGCGGGGGCCACAGCACATCCAGAGAAGCATCCAGCTCAGCTGCCGAGGGGGCTGCAGCGGCGACCTCGGGACTCCCACCAACCATCTTTGCTGGGGGTGGGGGTGGGTGGTAAGCTGGAGGGGGCGACGGAGGGGGTGAGCCGTTGCTGGGCCTCATGAGGGCACCGGCCCGTTCAGGGGCGGGCAAGGAGGCAGGCGCGGCAGGGCTCGTTCTGGGCTCGGGCGGCGGGGGGATGAGCGCGGCAGGGGCGCTGGTGGGGGGCAGAGCGACAGGGGCCGGGACCTTGGGGTGCGGAGGAGGCACGAGCCTGTCCGCAGGGGCAGCAGCGGGGAGGGCGCCGGCGGGAGGCAGGGCAGGCGCCTCAGCTGGGGCCGGATCCGAGGCGGACGAGGACAGGGACGTCAGGGAGGAGGAGACAGAGAGCCCTGGGGACTGGAGGGAGCAGACCCGCTCGGGTCTCTTGGGCTGCAGCCGCTTCTTCCCAGGCGAGGAGGCCTGCCCAGCCAGGCCCCTGGGGCAGAGGGTGGGCGTGCCGCTCTGGCTCGAATACCCGCTGGAGGGGGACATCGTGCGGCCGGGGGAGCTGTGCTTGGAGGGGAGCTCCGGAGCCTCGCTGGCCCGCAGCCCATCCACCTCGTGCAGCGCGTCTGCAGTGACCGGGCCCCTGCGGGAGAAGTCCGGGGAGCAGGCCAGGCTGCCGGTCTCGCTGGGCGAGGGCGGGGAGAAGACCTCGTCCTCAGCTGCTAGGCGGGGGCCCCCCCGGTGAGCCGTGGCCCAGGCCTCGCCGCTCTCCCGCGGGGGCCTGCGCTCCGCCTTGGGAGGCAGGCCCATCGCCTTCGGGGCTCCCTCCGTCTCCAGCCGCTGGGCCTTCTGGTGCAAGGAGTACGTCCTCCGTGGGGGCACAGGGGCTTTCTTCAGCTTCCGGAGGGAAACGCTTCGGGTCGAGGAGCGGTCGCTGCGGACGCTCACGCTGTCTGAGCCGTCCGCCGCGCTGCCGGTGCTGTAGGCCGGGGAGGCCCGGCCGCTGCTCCCCGCTGGCCGCACCATCAGGAGGCTGGGGGAGGCGGGGGCCACGCTGGCCTGGGTGCGGCCAGTGCTGGTGCCGCTGGCAGAGCTGTAGGTGCTGAGCCGGTCGGGCTCTGGCCGGGCCACGGCTCGGGCTGGGTCGCCAGGCCCCCCCTCCCCCCGCCTGCTCCCGCTGGTGCCCCCGTGCGACGAGATGGTGGAGGTGTTGGAGACGATAGTCTCTGTCGACTGCGAGTGGCTCCAGCTGTCACTGGAGGAGGAGTGCTCCTGGCTGCGGGGGGCTGCAGGGAAGCGCCCCACCGAGCGGGCCGAGGGGGCCGGGCTCGCCGTGGCCAGGCTGCAGCGGCTGAGCGTGCGCACCTTGTTGCAGGAGAGTGCGATGACGTCCACCATGGGAGGCAGGACCGCGTTGGGGATGATCTTGGACAGGTAGGTGCCCTGTGGGGAGATGGACAGGACCGGCGGGCTCAGCCGCTCGGGGGAGGCGGGCCGGGTGGTCATCCACGGGACGGCCAGGGACTTGGGCCTGGCCAGAGGGGACAGCTTGGTGGCCGTCTTGCGCCCCACCAGCGAGTCGTCGTAGTAGACGCGGTCGATGTGGCGCTGCAGGGACATGTCGGCCGCCTTGGCCTCCAGGGCCTGGAGCGAGACGCGGGCGCCGCCCTCAGGGACCACGGCCGGCTGCGGCTTCCCGTCAAAGGTGGGGATGCGGAGGGTGTTGCTGGGCAGCCCTCCTCCGTTCCTCAGGGGCTGGGAGGCAGGACTGGCTTGCGCAGCGATGCTGCCTGGCCGCTTCTTCGCGTCGTACCCGTTGCTCAGGCCTGCAGGGAGAGAAGGGGAAAGCTGCTGAGGCAAAACGGTCCAGAAGCAGTGCGTGGGCTGGACAAGTGAGGGGCGGTAGGGGAAGGCGGACTTGAGTTCAGAGCCCTGCAGGCAGCTGGGAGGGCCGTTTCTCTCATCTTGCTGCACAGGTCAGGCTGATTAAAAAATAGCACGGCATGCGTGCATCATCCCCGAGCGGCTGGGATCACTTGAGGAAGAAACAGCCTGGCCCAAACCACCCAAGGAGAGGAAGAGGAGAGCGCACTCAGCCACAGAAAAGCTATTAGCCTCCCAAACTTTAGTTTTGCCTTGAAATACTTCCAAAGTGAAAAGCTGGCACAATTGTACTGAACTGCTGGAGGAGACCACATTTCAGAACTGCAAGGTCAGGGATACATTTAAAATCTCTCTCTCTCTGTCTCTGGTATTTTTATCCTGCATTCTGGCAGGCTTCTCAGATTGGCTAAAGCAAAATTAGCACGCCTGTGACTAGATTCATATTCACTTATATTCGGAGTGCACCCTTTGAGCTTGACTAAATCTGGATTGTTGTTGTTGCTGTTAGTCGCGAAGTCATGTCCAACCCATCGCGACCCCATGGACAACATTCCTCCAGGCCCTCCTGTCCTCCACCATCTCCCGGAGTCCACCCAAACTCACACCAACTGCTTCAGTGACTCCATCCAGCCACCTCATCCTCTGCCGTCCCCTTCTTCTTTTGCCATCTATTGTTCCCAGCATCAGGCTCTTCTCCAGGAAGTCCTTCCTTCTCATTAGGTGGCCAAAGTATTTGAGTTTCATCTTCAGCATCTGGTCTTCTAGAGAGCAGTCAGGGTAGATCTCCTCTAGGACTGACCGGTTTGATTGCCTTGCGGTCCAAGGGACTCACAGGAGTCTCCTCCAGCACCGCAATTCAAAGGCCTCAATTCTTCGGCGCTCAGCCTTCCCTAGGGTCCAGATTTCACAGCCATACATTGCAACTGGGAAAACCATAGCCTTGACTATACGCACTTTTGTTGGCAGGGTGATGTCTCTGCTTTTTAGTATGCTGTCTAGATTTGCCATAGCTTTTCTCCACAGGAGCAAGCGTCTTTTAATTTCTTGGCTGCAGTCCCCGTCTGCGGTGATCTTGGAGCCTAGGAAAATAAAATCTGTCACTACCTCCATTTCTTCCCCATCTATTTGCCTGGAAGTGAGAGGACCAGATGCCATGATCTTACTTTTCTTAATGTTGAGTTTCATGCCAACTTTTGCGCTCTCCTCCTTCACCCAGATCAAGAGGCTCTTTAGTTCCTCTTCACTTTCTGCCATGAGAGTGGTATCATCTGCATATCTGAGGTTGTTGATATTTCTTCCAGCAATCTTAACTCCAACTGGTGATTCATCTAGCCCCGCTTTTCTCATGATGCATATAAGTTAAATAGGCAGGGCAACAGTATACAGCCTTGCCAAACTCCTTTCTCAATTTTGAACCAATCAGTGGTTCTGTGTCCAGTTCTCACTGTTGCTTCTTGACCCACATATAGGTTTCTCAAGAGACAAATAAGATGGTCTGGTGTCCCATCTCTTTAGGAACTTGCCACAATTTGTTGTGATCCACACAATCAAAGGCTTTAGCATAGTCAATGAAGCAGAAGTAGATGTTTTCCTGGAACTCCCTAGCTTTCTCCATGATCCAGCGTATGCTGGCAATTTGATCTCTAGTTCCTCTGCCTCTTCGAAATCCTGCCAGTACTGCTGGTAGTTCTCGGTCCACATACTGCTGGAGCCTAGCTTGTGGGGTTTTGAGCATAACTTTGCTAGCATGTGAAATTAGTGCAATGGTGCGGTAGTTTGAACAATCTTTGGCATTGCCCTTCTTTGGGATCAGAATGTAAACTGACCTTTTCCAATCCTGTGGCCACTCTTGAGTTTTCCAAATCTGCTGGCATATTGAGTGTAGCACTTTTACTGCATCGTCTTTTAGGATTTTGAATAGCTCAGCTGGAATACTGTCGCCTCCACTAGCTTTGTTGTTGCTCAGACTTCCTAAGGCCCATTTGGCTTCACATTCCAGGATGTCTGGCTCGAGGTCAGTGACCACCCCACTGTGGTTATACAAGAAAGAGCTTAACGTCCCTGATAGTTCTTCTGTGTAATCTTGCCACCTCTTCTTAATCTCTTCTGCCTCTGTTAGGTCCCTGCCATTTTGGTCCTTTATCATGCCCATCTTTGCATGAAACGCTCCCTTCATATCTCCAATTTTCTTGAAGAGATCTCTAGTCCTCCTTATTCTATTGGTTTCTTCTATTTCTTTGCACTGTTCATTTAAGAAGGCATTTTTATCTCTAGCTTTTCTCTGGAATTCTGCATTCTTTCTCCCTTGCCTTTCGCTTCCCTTCTTTCCTCCGCTATTTCTAAAGCTTCCTCAGACAGCCATTTTGCTTTCTTGCATTTCTTTTTCTTTGGGATGGTTTTAGTTGCTCCCTCTTGTACAATGTTGTGAACCTCTGTCCATAGTTCTTCAAGCATTCTGTCTATCAGATCTAATTCCTTAAATCTGTTTGTCACCTCTGCTGTATATTCATCAGGGATATGATTTAGGTTATACCTGAGTGGCTTAGTGCTTTTCCCTACTTTCTTCAATTTAAGCCTAAATTTTGCAACAAGAAGCTCATGATCTGAGTCACAGTCAGTTCCTGGTCTAGTTTTTACTGACTGTATAGAGCTTCTCCATCTTTGGCTACAGAGCACATAGTCAATCTGATTTCTGTGTTGACCATCTGGTGATGCCCATGTGTAGAGTCATCTCTTGGGTTGTTGGAAAAGCGTATTTGCTATGACCATCGTATTCTCTGGACAAAATTCTGCCAGCCTGTGCCCTGCTTCATTTTGTACTCCAAGGCCAAACTTGCCTGTTATTCTGGTTATCTTTTGGCTTCCTACTTTAGCATCCCAATCCCCCATGATGATAAGGACATCATTTTTTGGAGTTAATTCTAGGAGGTGCTGTAGGCCTTCACAGAATTGGTCAACTTCAGCCTCTTCAGCACCAGTGGTTGAGGCATAGACTTGGACTACTGTGATGTTGAATGGTTTGCCTTGGATTCAAACTGAGATCATTCTGTCATTTTGGAGATTGTATCCCAGTACTGCTTTTCCTACTTTTATTGACTATGAAGGCTTCTCCATTTCTTCTGAGGGATTCTTGCCCGCAGTAGTATACCTGATGGTCATCTGAATCAAATTAACCCATTCCTGTCCATTTTAGTTCACTGATTCCTAAGACGTCGATGTTCAGTCTTGTCATCTCTTGTTTGACCACGTCCAGCTTGCCTTGATTCGTGGATCTTACATTCCAGGTTCCTATGGAGTATAGACCTTTGCAGCATCGGACTCTCTTTTCACCACCAGATACATCAGCAACTGAGTGTCCTTTCGGCTTTGACCCAGTTGCTTCACTCTTTCTGGCGCTACTAGTACTAGCCCTCTGCTCTTCCCCAGTAGCATATTGGACACCTTCCAACCTGAGGGGCTCATCTTCCGGCGTCATATCTTTTTGACTTTGGTGCTGTCCATGGGGTTTTCATGGCAAAGATACTGGAGTGGGTTGCCATTTCCTTCTCCAGGGGATCACGTTTTGTCAGAGCTCTCTGCTATGACCTGTCCGTCTTGGGTGGCCCTGCACTGCATAGCTCATAGCTTCATTGAGTTACGCAAGCCCCTTCGCCACGACGAGGCAGTGATCCATGAAGAAATCTGGATACCACTACAATAATAACTACATTGAAAGCCAGAAAGCTGATGTTCTGCCGGGAGGGGCCCTTCCGGTGCTGTCAGCCTGCCTCCCTCAGAAGCTCCTGCAGGGTCCAGAAGGCACGACTTGTGCCTGCAGCCCTCCCACATTTTCCTACCATGGAAAATCCACTGGGGAGAAAAGTGAAGGAATGGCTGCAGAAGGTCTTCTGGTTATTTGTGCTTGGAAGCATCCAAAGCCTGGCCAAGGCAAGGGAACCACTTAGCTGGCCAGGTGGGCCACAGCAGGAAGGGCCTTCCCAGGTGGGAACAGGCAGCGGGCCCTGTGGCTGAGCACAGCAACCCACTCTCGGCCTCCCCTCTCCCTCTGCAAATCGCTGACAGTAACAGGCAGTGCCTCACACAGTTGTGGGGCAGACAACGCTAGGACCCGAGTGCTTTCTGCACAGGAAGGCCTCGGCAGTTGTAGGCGGCCTATAAATACATGTATCAATCAATCAATCATTCAGTCCAAAGTGCTGTGCAAATCCTTCACATGCATTTAGTCAGGCGTTCCAGTTTGAGTTTGGACTTCTGTGGTGCTCTGGAATCAACTGTCACCTTCCTCTCCCTGCACCCCACTGTCACATGCTCGTCAAGACTAGTTCCCTAAATTATACAGCCAAAATCCACCGTGAGTCAAGTGAGGGCAAGTTTTCCTCAGTTTCCATCTGCCATTTCAGCTGAAATGTTCCAGCTCCTGAATGCAGATTCTGGAGTTCCATTTTCCCTCTGTTCAGCAAATCCCACTTCCCAGTGAGTCCAGCTTACCGAGCTCCTTCTGCACATGTTGCGGGAGGCCCAGAACAGTCGTCCTCCGCTCCCTCCTCCTCTTCTCTCCCTTTCCAGAGGATTTGGGGAATGAATCATGAGGCCGAAATGTGGAGCCTGGAAGGCAGGCAGGTTCAGACTGAATTAAAATCAGCAAAAGGAGCATAAAACGTTGTTACAAGGAAAGGGCTGCAAGCTGCTCTCATTGAACAAAACTGCAGGATGCAAAATAACCAACTTTAGTTAGAAGGTGGCCGATTTTGGAAAAACCTCCTAACAGAGAACGACTGGGGGCAGGGGCACTGCTGCTGGAGGAATTCAAGCCCAGGCAGCACTGCCATTGGTAAGGGATGCCCCAGCTGGATTCCTGCACTGAGCCAGGGACTGGACCTGATGCTCCAAGTAGTCCCTTCCAACACCGGGACCTCAAGATGCTAGTAAAGGAGAGCTAAAACCCAGCCTCACCAGCTCAGCCCTGCAGCAGGGCTGGGATGCTTCAGAGGCAGGCCCCTCCCAAACACGGAAGCTTTGCAGCATCCGAAGGCCAACTGTTTGCAGGGCAGAGACGCTGCTGCAGCTCCGCTCTGCACTGGCCCTTCTGTTTCTTCCAGGGGATGCTCCAAAAGAGGTCTCTGCAAAAATGGCTGCAGTTCCCCAAGCTCCCCCGAAGCCCAGGTTCCGGCCCCCTCGGGTCACATGACCCTCCCGCCAGCGCCCAGCCATGGCCGCCACATCCAGTGGTACCTTTCCGCTGTATCATCTCTGAGCGGATAGAGAGGGCATCGTCGGAGGTCATCTCTGTTGTGCATGATGGGGCCTGGCTTTGGATCGAGAGGTCATCGCCGTCCGTGGATGAGCAGGAAGACTGCATGGCAAGCAGAGGAGCACAAGGGGAGGCGCAGACCCTCCGAAGTCCCTGCAACCCCTCCGTGCCCCAGTGACGTCTTTGTCTTGCCTTCTTCTGGAGGCAAGAAATGGGCTGTGGCTGCAGCAGCCTCTCACCTGACCTGTTTTCCCCTGCCAGGACTGCTGCTTGGTTGGATGCCATGCATGTGCCGCCCATAGGCCCTGTCAGGGGCACTTCCCTAATGCAGCAGGTATGGAGTTATCCTGCCTGCCCACCAGGTGGCGCTACTCGCCAACACAACTTGAGTGGTTGACCCAGTGCGCCCAAGACCCTGCTCTGCACAGCCCTCAAGGGTACAAATTCCTTTCTGCTTAAAGGGCCATGAAATCAGCAGAAAGAGTACGTGAAAGTCCGCTTGGACACTGCCAAGTCCTGGAACCCACCCTGCTGGTCACACTCTGATTCGCAAGCCTCCCCCACCAGGGTGCAAGTGCACAGTTATATTTCAGACACCCAAGCAATGGGGCTTAATAATATTTCTAGGGTTGGGCAAAGGGAAAGAGGCACTTCAGTGCCCTGCAGAGCTCCCTGGGAATCTCCACAGGGGAACCAAAATAATTATACGGGTTTGCTTCACTTGAGTGATTTACGTAGCTTGCAGAAATCAGTTTTAGGACAGAATCGGGACCACTATAAGATTCAGGACTCCCAAAATCAAGGCTCTTGAATACAAGGCACTGATGTGGCCAGAACATTCCAAGGAGCTCCAGGTACCTTTCTGCATACAGAGATGCTGCAGGACCAAAGGAAAAAAGGGCCTAGTCCTAAAGGATGGTGATTCACTATTAATGGGTGTGGAGGGGGGAATGTGCTTAAAATGGAAAAGACGGATAACACTGGCAAGAGCATGAGCTGTGCTGAGCACTGCCATGCCCCAGTCCAACACAAAGGCTGAGCTGTGGGACGCCAGCAGTCCAGGCTGCCCCGTGGGGCTGCACTCCCCCACCACCTTGGCAGAGAGGGGCAGGCAGCTTTCTGCTGAAGACCCTTTCCAGTCGGAGGACCACACCCCAGCTTCCCAACAGCCGCCTGGCTCACTGGGTGCCTCTCCTGCCCGGGGGAGAGGGGAGCTGCCCGCACAGGGAGGGAGGCCGAACCAACGCTCCTCCCGGAAGAGGCACCTGGGAAGGGAGGCAGCCTTGGCCGGGGGGTGTGAGCCGGGAAGGGCGGCTGCGAGCAAGCTTGGGGCAAAGTACAGCTGGCTGCAGTCAAGATAAACAGACGTGGAGGAATCAGGCAGGGGAGGCCCTCCCTGCGCCCAAGCCCCGTGCCGGAGGGGGAAGCGTTTTGCGGACTGAGCTGCTTCCCTGGACCTGCACTCGCAAACCCACTCAGCCGAGTTCACAGCAAAGGTGCTCACGCACAGGAGTGGGCCCCGTTTCGAGCCATGGCAGGGCGGGGGTCCGAGAGCCACTGACAGCCTGGCAGAGCCCCTGGCCACGGGGAGGTGGAGGCGGCGCAGCAACTGGCTGGGTTTCAGCTCCCAGCAACTCCGGCCAGTGTCCGCATCCAGAATCCTCCAGGACAAGGGGGCTGCTCCCCCAGGGAGCCCACTGCAGTCCCACAGGCCAAGTGAGGCCACATCCCGATGCGGCAATACCGAACCCACCAGCCGCTTCGAGGGGGCGGCTTACCTGGACGCTGCCGGCGTCGCTGCGGTCCCAGCCCCGCTTGGCCTGCTTCTGCTTCTCTGAAAGGCAGCAACAACAAAGCCATGACCGGCCTTCTCGGCAAAGCCGGGGGGCTCGGGCACCAAGCCAGAGTGCCCGGAGTGGTGGGCCACAGCACCATGAGCAGCCCGCCTCGGCTCGCCCCCCCCCCCCAGCTTCCCAGGAGACCTCTGTGTGCCTGGCTGTGCCCCAGAGCAGCCGCTGAACGTGGGCAGCCCTTTCAGCCTGGGGACACTGGACTCTGCTCGGCTGTGGCCTTGCCTCCCCATCCCGCGCAGAGGCAAACATGCCACCCGGCCTCCGATTTGGCCCCCTGTTGGTCGCGGGGAGTGGGCAGGCCCACCCAGGGCCATCCCTCTCTGTCCGTCAGAAAGGCACTGCTAATAAAATGAATGTGCGTGTGTGTGTGGGGGGGTGTATAAGATGCCCACAGCCCCGGTGCTGCCACAGACAGTCCCCGGTTCCTTGGAGGCAGCCTTCACTTCCGTCCAAGTGGGGCAGCGACACGCTCGAGAGCGGCGCGGAGGGGAGGGCCGTTTCCCCTTCCCCAGAGGCGTGGGGGCTGGTGCGGTTATTCCACAGAGGGAGGAGCGTGCGTGTCTGCAGCAGCAACTTCCAGAGCCAAACGCAGGCTTTCCCAACAGGCTGTGGACATGATCCGTGGCTCAGGTTCAGGGCAACTGCAAGGGAGCCCCCTTGTGGGGGGCACCTGGCACTTGTCATGTAGCACCCAAGATTCTGCAGTACAAGATTCTGAGGGCTTGCATTCAAGCTAGATTTTAAAACAAAATGTAATGGCGATCTTTCCCGTATTTTTCTCTTCATTTCAGCATCCCACCAACATCAATGAAAAAAGCACCCAACCAGAAGATGCTTTGGGCAACTCCAAGCCCGGCTGGGCTTCTGCATGGAGCCCTGGGGGGCGGGGGCACACTGCCAGTGGTGGAGGAGGCAGAAGGGAAAGTAGGCAGGGCCCACAGATGTGGCTGGAAAGTGGGCAGACACCCTGCCCCACGCGGGTTCCTGCAGCACCCAGGTCAGGGGCCAGCCAGATTCTTTCCCTGCACGGGCTGAAAGGCTGGAGGCAAGAGAGAAGAACGGCCCTTGTTCACTGGCAGTGCTAGAAGCAGGATGTGACGCATGGCCTGTGTGTGCCATCTTGACCTGTGCCTTCAACGACAATCACGGGTAACGTGCATCCGATTTACAAGCAGTCTGCAATGTACTTTTCGGACGCTCCCCGGGGCTCAGAGTCTCCGAGCCCGTGCACATTACTCAGTCTAAAGTGGGAGTAAAATGTCCACTGGCTTTTAGATGTTGCAAGCCTGGATGACACAGCAGGGACACTGGCTTAGACTGGATCGGAATCTTCGCTACAACACAGCTGGGACGTTTGGCCTTCATGTTGCACTGTGTGCTTTTCAGCAGTTTTGGCTCCCCACATTCCCACCTGTTGCCTTTATTCTGGTCAGGCAGCAGGGCAATCTCCAAGGCAATTCCAACAAGAGAGGCTCGCAGACCGAAGGGTCTGTGCCCACCCCACCCCCCGGCCCACGGAGCAAGGGGCACCTTGGCTCTGCAAAGACCTGAGCCCCGCCTGGGCCTGGATGTGCAGCTCCTCCAGGTGTGGCGGGCGGCTGCTGGGGAAGAAGACATTGTCGGGCTGCTCCTCCCCAGCCTTGCACTGGACGCTCAGCCGCTTCTCGTGCTCCGCCTTGGCAGCACCTGGAAGCAAACACAAGGGCCTGGTTCAGCCACCCGGGGCCTCACCCGCTGGGCATCCAGCGCACCGGCTGATCCGACGCGCTGCTCTGAAGCAAGCTCCCCTGGCTCAGCGCACCTTCTCCTGAGAAGGGAGCAGAGCGGTGGGCACACTGCTGTCAACAGGTGTGCTGGGGTGAGCCACGCTGGGCAGCAGGCAAGACTCCCGCCCATGGCTTTGCAACCTGAGCACACGCCTGGGTCCATCACCATGGCAGCCCTGCAGCTCTCTGCTGGCTGGGGGGCCCGCGCCAGCATTTGCTCCCCCACATCCCGCTCAGCGGCGGAGGCTTTGGCTGGTGCATTGTGAGCCTGCGCCTTTAACCAGGCCACTGAATAAGCAAAAGCGCCCCAGGGTGACATCACATGACTGATTCCAGAAATACCCGGGCACCTTGCACAGCACACCAAGGCAGCCAGCTTAAAGGGGCCACGTGCAGCACATGCCCCCCCCCGCCCCCTCACCAGCCACTTCCAGATCTGATAGAGGTGACTGAGGGGTGAGGGAACGGAGCAGAGCCAGGTCAGCTGTGTTCACACCTGCCTTTGCAAACCGGCAACTCCCATCCATCCATGGCTGGAAAAGCACAGAGCACTGCCCGACGGAGGCAGGCGGCTGGTCCACCCAGTTCAAGCTGACCCGTTCTGTCGGGGGCTCTGCGGGGCCTCAGGGAGGGGTCTCTCCCCACCCTACCTCGTGACGTCAGGGCCTGAATCCAGGGCCTTGGCATGGATGCAGGTGCTTGACCGCCACCTGCTGACCTGGCTATTTGAAATGGGGAGAAAGTGGCTGCTGGAGGGCTGTTTTCTCCTTTCTGGCACTGTGAGAAAGTGAAAGTGCGCTGCCTTTTGAGAAAGGCACTCTTCACATGCACATCAACTATTTCCCAGGCCAGGTTGCTCCCTGGAGCCATCTGTGGGGCTTCTTTAGCGTGTCCGAGACCAGAATCGGGTCCTGTAACAGTCGGTCCTCTTTCAGATCAACCTCTGCTGCTCCAGATGAACCCACCACCAGAAATTCTTCTGAGCATAAACCAAGGAACAGCTGCCATGCCATGTGTGGGAAAGGTGCCCACCCTGAAGGGAGCTTCTTTTAGAAGAGTGATGGCCCGCGAGCAACAGGGTTGAGCAGAGGCTGCGTCCAACGGCTCCAGAAAAACACCAGCACACAGTGGCCAACCGGGGGCCCGTGGGAAATCCCCAACCACACCACCCTCCTGTCCAAGTTCCCCAGCAAGCAGGGGAAGGTAGCAAGAACCCACGAGGACTAGTAGCTTTCTCTCTCATGAATGTATGTATTTATTTAATGTGTATCCCACCTTCTTCTTTTTGAAAGAATTCAAAGTGGCTTATATCATTCTCCTCCTGATGCTCTCAATCTTATCCCCACAAAAACAACTCTGTGCGGTAGATTGGACTGAGAGTCTGTGACTGGCCCAGAATCACCCAGCTGGCTCCAGGAAATTATCCAGTCCCTTTCTAAAGCTGGAACAGCTGCTGCTGTGATCACCTGCCCCTTTAAGCTGACACTCCGGAGCACCTAGAGGGTGTCCTCATGCCTTTATCACTGGGCTATGTCCCTTCAGGTGCCCCTGGAAGCCTATGTGCTGGCCCAAGGAAACTGCAAGGCCCAATTCAGATGCCCAGCACGTGCCGCTCAAGAGGCAGCCTTCCCTGCATGGAGTCAAAAGCAGCTCTGCGATGAGAGCGAAGCTTCCCCAGAAACCAACCCAAGCCGCTGTTTAAAACTCCCCTACAAGAGTTGCACTTCCACAGCAGAAGGCTCGTTCCAACCCTCCAGGAAACAGACTGCTTTCTGGAAGAAGGGCCTGCAGTCCTGCAGAGGCACAACCTCTCAGCCCCCACTTCCAGGCTGGACCCGATACCACTCCTCCATCAAGTCACCAGAGCACAAGATTCCAACATGAAATGGGAACGACTCTGCACAAAGAGGTACCACCATGCTCCCCAGCCTGAGGCCTTCCAGAGGCTTTGGGCTGCAATTCTCATCCGCCCCAGACAGCACGGCCAGCAGTTAGGAATGAGGGTGACTGTAATTCAAACGTCCAGAGGGTGACCGGCTGGCATATGGAAAACCTAATCAGCAATGGATACGTATTTCTTTTCAAGGGAGACTCTTGCTTGCTTGCTTGAAAGCACCACTCCACCCTTTTGCCTGTCCCAGAAGGACCAGAGTGGAGACCAGATGAGCGAATGGGTGACCCGAGCTGACCCAGAGCCCTGCAGGCCGGGAGAGGCTGGTTCCACACTGGCTCCGATTCTGCCCTCGTGCTCCCCATGGCACCCCCAGCCTTGCTTTCAGTTTCAGGACATGAAGCTCAGGGCCACGGCATACCTCCTCTGTGAAAGCGGAGCTCACCCAGCTAGTCTCTCTTCCCAAGGCAGGCAAGCGCAATCCCTCCGTTTCCCCTCCCCAGGAGGCAAGGATGGCAGCCGCGGATCGGTGGAAAATGGCGGGAGGAAACCCAGAGGCCAGAATGGTCCCAGAGGCAGGGGACCGCCAGAGCAGTATGACCATGGGAGCAATGATGCGGGGCAGTGGAGGGCTCTTGCACCCGGGAGGCATTCAAGTGCGGCTGGACAGCCCTCTGAGAGGGGTGGGCTAAGCTGGGCTCCGGCACTGAGCAAGGGGTGGGACCCACTGGCCCTCCGCCCCCTCCCCCTTTACGATTCTAGGTAGCAATGCAGGCTTTACCTGGGCCTCTTCTTAGAGGTTAGTCCCAAGCACTTGTTTAGTCAGCATCTCCTCTGGCTAACTGATTAAATATTTCTTCTTCAAATGCTTCTGATTAATCAGGCAAATATGCTTTACATTTTTCTGAATACATCTTCTCACTGGCTACAGGTGACTTGGGCACAAGAGCAGCAGACCATGCCAGTCCGAACAACCCTGCATGATGCATAACCCTGAGCCTTAGAACTGTCTTATGCACAGTCATCAAAAGGGGGTCCTGGCCTGCCTTTTTTCCTATAAGGAACCCAAAGCAGCTTACCTGGTGAGGCAGGTTAGGCTGAGATTCAATGACTTGATCCCAAATCACCCAGGGAGCTGCACAGCCAGGTGGACGCAGTCCCCAAGTCCGAGTCCAGCCATCTGACCACTAGGGTGCCCTGAATCTAATTCAAGCTCTTCAAAGTCTCACCAAGGACTTGGCTCAGATTACTTAAATGCTGAAGCCTTTTCGATGCAAACCAGTTCTGAGTGCTGGTGTCCTCCTCGAGGACAGCCCCAGCGAGCCCCGCTGGGGTCACCGGACCAGCTGCAGGACCAGGGCACAGCTGGGCCTGAGACCTGCCTGAAGCCCTCCCCTTCTCCAGCGCAGCGTCTCTCCAGCAATGCCCCAAAGCCAATGCCATCCTGAAACGTCCACATGACCGGAGAAGAGGCAACCAGACAGCCTGTGAGCAGTATGAGAGGCTGTCCTCAGCACCCCCTCACTCGGATGCGCCTCCCCACTCTTGCCTGCCCTCGACTGCTATTCTGTGCGGGCCGCGATCGAGAGGGTAATCTGGAACTTGCCCTCCAGGAGGGCCACGGGGGAGGCAGGCCTGGAACCCAAGGCCTCGGATGCTGGCACCTGTCCCTGAGTGGCACCCAGAGGGCATCACTTGTGCTATGCATCCACTCAAGAAAGTTGAGCATCGGCTGTTGGGTGCTATACAAGCCAAATGGACAGACCCTCTGCAAACAGAGAACAAGAGCCAGCTCCCTCTGATCTCAGCGGGGCCAGCTCCAGATGCAACTCTGCCTGGCGCCAGTTCGCAGCCTGCATGCCTTCAACAGCCCAGCTCATAAGCGGGGCCAGTGCTGCCACGGCAGCCAAGCCCGGGCTGCTGGGGTCTTCACGGCCAAGGCAAGACTCGAGCAGGGGACGCTGCACGATGGTGGCCCCACATATAGCCCACTTCATCCTCCAGGGACCCACAGTGAGTCCTCCTCTTCTCCATTCCATCCTCACAACAATCCTGTGAGGCAGGTTGGGCTGAGGGTCAGTGGTGGCCCAGTCACCTGGCCAGCCTCGCCCACACCTGGTGAGTCCCAGGCTCCTCGGACCACCGGCCGGGCCCCAACTCTGGCCGCTGCAGCCGGCAAGCCTGACCCTGCATTTCCCCTCCCCGCCCTGGCCACTACGCATCCCCTCGGGTCCTTTCCAGAAGAGTCGGTCGAGAAGAACAAGAAAGAGGGGCTGGCGGGCGGGTCCGTATCCGAGGGGCTGCAGGGCGCCTTCGCGCACGAGTCCCAGACACCCTCCCGGCTAAGGCGGCTCTCGCGGCAGCTCCCAGCAGAGCGAGCGCCCCTCCCCGGGACCACAAAGGGGCGCGCGAAAGAGGCCCGCGCTTCAGCCGCAGGCAAAAGGCGGCGCTTCGCGGGAGGGGCGGCCGGCAGGCACACGGGCTCGAGGGAGATGCCCCGTCCAGCAAAAGCCGCTCCGCAGACCCCCCGCCCCGCCCCGCCCCGGCCGGTAGGGCAGCAGATCCCAAGGGCGCCGAGCAGCGGCTGAATGACATACCAGCGCCTCCCCCGCGCCCGGCCGCGCAAGGCGACCGGACCACCCGCGGCCTCCGGGTGGTACCGCGACGCCCCTCCCGCTCCACCGGGGGCGTAGCGGGCGCCGCAGCTCACCGCGAGAACCTGCGGGACTTGCTCCCGAGGAGTCCCCGTGCACACGGAGGCGCCAGCGCGCGGGGTGACGGCCGGCTGCGAAGCCGCGGAAGCCCGCCGGGCCGGCTGCGAGGGGCGACACCGCCCGGCCATTCGAAGGGGCGCACGGGCGCGCCCCACCCCGCCGTCCGCTCCCTCCCGGCGCCCCAACGGCCGCGGCCGCTCACCCCGCTTCTTGAAGAGCGCCAGCAGCGAAGGCAGGTTGCGCCCGAGGAGGACCACCATCGCGCCGCTGAGGTCCCGCGCTCCGAGCGGCGAGGACTGCGGCTCCGCCTCGCCGAGGACCGCCTCGCCGCGCGCTCGGCCGCTTTCTCCTTGAGCATCGCCCGGCCGCCTCCCTCGCCGGGGCGGGCAGGGGGGAGGGACCAGCGCCGCGGCTCCGCGCGGCAGGATGCGGGCGCTGCAGCGGGAAGGCCGGCGGAGGCACAAGCGCCCGGAGAGGAGGGGGGCCTCCCGCGCGGCCCCGCTCACGGCAGCGAGACCGGGGCCTCCGCGCGCCGTGGCTCCCGCCTCCCGGGGAAGCCCATCCCGAGCGGCCGCTCGCGCAGCTGCCACACGAACGCGCGGCCGCCAGGGGCGTCTCCCGGCGCCGGTGCTTTGTCCGGCGGGGCACGGAAACGCTTCAGCCGGGAGTTGCGCTTGGACCCCAAGCAGGGCCCGCCCCGGCCGGCAAAGCCGAGCGCCAGGGATGGTCGCCCTTCCAGGCCCGCCATTTCCCCGAAAATTACAATTTTTGTGGGGGAGGACATTTCGGTTGCATCCTGCAAACTGCTGGCAGCTTCGAAAGGACACGCTTGGGCTACGTCGGCGACTTGCCTGGGCCGCCACTAGGCCGTTTTCGACACCCAGATCCCCCGGACTTCGTCTCCCTTCCCCTAATCAGCAGCCCCAGGCACGGGGTGGACGGGCGGGCCCAAAAGGCTTGCACGTGTTTGCGTAGGCCTTGCGTGTTCTTAGAGGCACTTGGCACCGCCGAGGCAGCAGCCCCTGCTGGCGAAGCGGGCATGGGGGCCCCCCCAGCCCAGGGCGGGAGCAAGAGGCCACCTCCGGGAGCGGCACCCACCAGGCTGCGAACAGAGGGGAGGTTTCCCTGGCGACTATGAACCAGTCTGCCCGCAACATGGTGCCCTGCAGATGTTTAAGACTACAGCTCCTATGAGCCCCTACTGGCTGGCACTGATGGAAGCTGCGTCTGAAATACTCGGAGGGCAGCAGGCGGGGATGGGTGGTGGCACTACCCACAACACGGGCTCGAGCAGGTTATGTGGGACTCAGCTGCGCCTTCCCAGCACACCCCAGGCCAGGAACGGAGCAGTCCCCCAGGCTGCAAAGCGGCTGCTCTTGGGGCAGCCTTCTCCAGGCTGCTGCCCCTCCCCAGTGTTCTGGACTACAGCCCCCTGAACCCTTGGCCACCGGCCGTACTGTTAGGGCTGATGAGAGTGGGAGCCCAAAGCATCTGCAGGGCGCAGCGCCTCCCCCTGCGCTCGCTTTCCTGCAAGATGCAGGAGCAGGAGCTCAAGGGCAGGCGCCCCCAGCAGCACCAGCTGCAGCCACCCGGGACACACATGGCCCTGGGAAAAAAGGTAGGCCTCTTCACTAGCCAGGACAGCTGCGGTGGGGGGGGGGGGGTCTGTGTTGGCATGTGAGAGACTTTTGAGGGGGGCCTGGCAGAGCCGCTAAGGAAGATCTGCAAGGGGCCACTCCGTGGGTAACTGGGGAAGTGGCAGCGGAGAAGCACGGGTTGCAAGCCGGCTGCGGAAGGGCAGGGGTGCCTCCGGGGCGAGCAACACGGCGGGCTCCCACGTGGAGGCTGACTGCCCTCCCTGATCTTTCCATTGCCCAACACAATCAACACTCCTGGGCCTCAACTTCTGGCTGGGGTGGAGAGACGTTTGCTCGGCCAAAACCTGGGTAACTTGGACTTGCAACTCTGAGTCACACAGCCACTCTGAGAAAGGGACGATTAAACCTGCCTTCCCTAGCCTGGCGCCCCTAGTTGTACTGAATGGCAACTCCCGCCAACTGATGGATGTTGTAGTCCCAATACATCGGGAACACCCCACTGGGGAAAACTTGATTACAACACCTCTATCCCACCTCTGTGGCCAGGCAGGGCTTCTGAATGGTGCTGCCCCACATGACGCAATGTAACTGCTGCTAAGCATGTGCAGGGTGGACTTCTCTAGCTGCAACTGAGGAGCCAGATTTCCTGAGTCCAACAACAGGGCCTCTGCGCATGCACCTTAGGCCTGGTTCTCCCAGACTCCGCTTGTCCGTCCCTCTCTCCCTTCTGCATTCTTTTGGAAGCAATTTATTTATTTATTTATTTATTTATCGATTTATATCCTGCCTTTTCCCTACAAAGGGCTCAAGGCAGCTTGCATCATTCTCCTCCTCCATCTTATCCCCACAACAACAACCCTGTGAGGTAGGTTGGGCTGAGAGTCTGTGACTGGCCCAAAACCACCCAGTTGGCTCCATGGCTGAGCGGGGACTCGAACCCAGATCATCTGAGTCCCAGTCCCACGCTCTTAACCACTACACCACACTGGCTCTTATTATGCCCATTTGCTGCCAGCCACAGGCCCTCCTTTCACCCCTCTGGAGCACCCCCCTCTCCAGCTGAATATTCATCAGGCACTTAGAAAGAAAGGACAGGCAGGCAGGTCAGGCCCGCACCATCTGGCATGCAGCAAGAGGCCTGGAGTCGGAGGGGGAGCTGCCCTGTCCTTTTAGCACAGCAGTCATGCAACAATTGTGAGTGTCCATCCAAAATGAGGGGTCCAGATCAAGGAGCTGGAACGCCCTGGGGCTGCAGAGAGAGGACCCCCACACCAGCATTTCAGCGCTGTGCTGCAGGAGTGGAAGTGCTCAGGCGCACCTGTTTCCAGGTCTGCACCTTTCCTACCTCTCCCCTTGAAGGCTTGCTCTGCTCTACCAACGTGCTTTAATTTCTCACTCCATCCAGCAAAACTCAGTAGGATTCACTCTGTGCACTTCAAAGCCCACTGCTCCCAGAAGAGCTCCATTTAGGATAATAAATATATCGGAAATTTGATGCTGTCCATTATTTTCGCTTCAGGTTAGCTGCCTTGTGTGGGCTTTGCCTGAAAAGGTAGCCTAAACATACTGGACCTCAGTATGGTCTGGATAGGACAGCGGCATCCTGCGATCCAAGTGTCCAGAGGGTCTCCAGTGGCAAAGGACCACGCAGCATCACGCAGCACTGGCCTGGGGCAGGGCGGGGTCTCGGCTGTGCCCGCCTCAGATTGTGTGCGAGTGTGGAAATGCGCTTGCAAACACAGGCCTGCGCCCGGGGACACGGGGAAGAGCTGAGGCCCTGTGCGCGGCGTTCTCTCGGGCAAGCCCAGCCTTGTGCGAAAGGCCTTTCGAGGGCTTTCCCATGGGCTTGCCTGAGAAGAATCCGCACTTTGGAGTTCTGCACCCTTTTAAAGAGCGATCTCTTCCAGGAAACCTCTGAGGCAGCTCCTCGGCCCTCATTCCAAAATGATCCCAAGCTTAAGGTGGTGTCTAAGCTGGTGTTTGGGGGCAGCGGTGGGGAAAGCAGTGGGCCCCGAGCCTTGAGGATGACCTGACATCAGCCTGCATGCCCCACTGTTTTGGCTACAGCACCGCGAGCAGGAGTGGTTGGGGTCTGAGGCCTGTGATGCAGTAAGAAAGAGAGGAGTGTTCGAAATGTGGATTTATCACAGTATGTTATGAAGATCATGGACTGCGGGGATGACCAACAAAGAAGCTTTGAAGAGAACGCATGAAGATCAAGGCATAATAAAACACAGCAAATGGACTATTTTGGCCACTTAATGAGAACTGAAGAATGTTATGCTGTTGCCCATGGGAGCAGGGGGAGGAGGCCTTGGTGGGCAATCTAATATGCGGTTAAGGGAGGCCATCTCGAAGAACAGTCTAGCCACGGCAATATCCAAACTTCCAGGAGAGAAATAAGAAGAACCGCTCAGTAAAACATACACCAGGGTAAGGCTCCAATGATGGAAAAACCGCCTTGGCCCCTAGACAGGATGACCATCAGCCCTGGATTACACATGGGAACTCCATTCTCTCCATCTCTCTGACCCACAGATTTGGGGTCTACAACCCTGAGCGTAGTGTAGCACAAACAGATGCAACTGAGGCTGGTTTGCAAATTCTCCCTGTGGCATCTGCCAGGGATGTTACCAAAGGGCACAGGCTGCCCTGGCCGTCCCCAGAGAATGGACTGGAGGCCAAAACCGCTGTTCTTCTGCCATTCAAAAGCAGGGCAGGAGGCGCTCTCCTGCTGAGGGACACACAAGGGGCACCAGCCATTCCTGCCCCCTTGGCTGGCGCCGTTCCCCGTGACTCGGATGAGTTCTCTCCTGCCCCCTCGAAAAGCCTTTGTGACCCTTCGAGTGCTGCAGCTGCTCTCAAGCTGCAGCTTCTGGAATTCTGGATCCCTCCTGGGAGCCGGGCTGCTGCCCCCATGCTCCTCCGCAGCACGCGACTTGGTGGAGAAGCGACTCCGCTTTCACCCGCAGGAAGCCGGCCATAGCCTCTTCTCAAAGGTGCTGTGAATTTTAGTTTGGGGAGGCAGGGAGGAGAAATCCAGCAGATACAGTGGGACCTCGGCTCACGAATGCCTCAGTTCACGACCAAATCGGGTCACAAACAGAAATTTCAGAAAAATTTTGCCTCGGTTCACAAACGCCACTTTGGGTGATGACGTCGATCATGGCCATGTTGCTACACGAACACAATCGCGGCCATCTTCCCTGGGTGAGCACGATCACGATTGTGGCTATCTCCCCCCACCCCCAGCACGATCGCTATCGCACAATTTTGGTTTGGACTCTCCCTCCAAACAATAACCTCCCCCACACCTAGGGGGAGTTCTCTATTGTACTGTAATTTGTTGTTCTTTGTTACTTTGTTTCACATTTTTGAGATTAAGAAAAATACAGAACGGATTAACCTTATTTACATTGAACCTTATGGGGAAATTTGACTTGGGTCGCGACCAGAGTTCTGGAACGGATTAAGTTCGTGAGCCAAGGTACTGCTGTACGTATCAGCCCCCACGGCAAGCTACAGCTTCCAGGATTCCCTAGGCAAGCTATGGTCTGTACTTCTGACAGGCCATTCAGTATCAGCCACTCCCTTTTCCAGAAGAAACGACCCGGGAAAGCTGCACTGCCAAAGGGGGAGCCACACAGTTGCGTGAGAACCCCTCTGCAGCTCGCCTTCCCTTGCAGTTGCCCCTTGGAGAG